CTTTGAATATACAAACCTAACCTCCAAACGGTGATGTTTAGCTTGTGACAAATATTTCGATTGTACTTTCGTTTTCGAGATTTTTCCATTTCACCTTCATTCGTGAGTTATGGAGCAATACGGGCCAAAATTCGCAGTGACCAAGAAATTTCTTCTTAACTGCTGTACAAATTAGAACGAAACTTGGAATATATGTACAAACCTAAACTCAAAACGGTGATGTTTAGCTCGTAAAAATTTTTTAGATTTTGCCTTCGTTTGCGAGTTACACGGCTATACGTATACGGCTCTCTGTCAATACCAATTTTAAATCGGCCTCAGAAATGCCTGTCGTTGCTCCTTATGTCTGTATAACTCGCAAACGAAGGCAAAATAGAAAGAATTATCACGAGCTAAACATCACCACTAGGAGGTTAGGTTTGTATATTCAACGTTTCATTCAAATCTGTTCAGTAGTTTAGGAGAAATTTCTTGGTCACTGCAAATTTCCGCCCGAATTGCTCTATAAGTAACTCACGAATGAAGGTGAAATGGAAAAAACTCGCAAACGAAGGCAGAAACGAAAAATTTGTCACGTTCAACTTCTACGTAAACATCACCGTTGGAAGGTTAGGAATATATAATCAAAGTTTCGTTCAAATCTGTTCAGTGGTTTAAAAGAAATTTCATGGTCACTGCAAATTCCGGCACGGATTGCCGTATAATTCACGAATAAAGGTAAAATGGAAACTTGTTTTCACGAGCTAACATCACCGTTAGGTCTTGCTGAATACGTGTACCAAGTTTCATCGAGTTGGGTTCATTAGTTTGGGAGAGATTCCTAGGTCAATGAATTTGGAGATTGGCCTTAAGACCTGGCGCGTGTCCGGCCGTAAGTTTGTACGAGACGTATGAAAAAAAGCAACGAATGTAAAATAAATGAAATAGCTAATGGTAAAACTTCGAACCGAATGAGTGGCATAAATTTTTCCGGTATAAAGGTGCTTGATTAGCTAAAATTTGTTATTTTCTGATCTTAAAATTTTTAAATTTGCGCTCGCTGTTACACGTGCCGAAAATTGGAAACCGGCCGCAAAACTAGCTGAAAAATTGTCCGACGGTCCGACCTGTGCCCGTCCTGTGGGCTGTGCCCGACGCCGACGGGCGATGGCTGCCGACGGCTGATGTGCGCAATTTGCGTGGCTGATGCCGATGGCCGTTGTACAATGTAAAGGGGCTTGGCATGCAAGCCTTGCATCCCGATGTAACTTGAAAAGACCTGACAAGCTGACACTTGCCCTTGGAATGTCTTTTTTTTTCAGAGTCACTACGCCCCAAATCCGGCTGCACACCCGATCTGAACTGTACGTTCTTCATGCAGCATGGGAGATCGAATTAGGAGCTGGTCATTGTAGTCTTGTCTCTTCTAGACAGTAGAGGCTCAATTATCATTATGTAATGAAACGACACTCAGTTGCAGATGGTTTTTTCATTGCTCATAGCCTCATTGTGTGTAATTTCTGAAATACCTCAGTCCTCACTATTTGTATTTGGAAACATTTGTCCATGACTAGAGTCTAGATGCACCTACGGGCATAGTGACAAACCAGAGATTTTTTAGAATCAGTTCATTTTAATTTCCTCATTTACCTAAGCTTTAAACCAATTTCTTATGTATGATAAGGCTGGTATCCAGGATAGTAAGGATACTTTTCTGGTCTACTTATAGGACTCAAAAATGAACTTGAGGGAGAGTCTAAAAAACTCTCTGCTCTGGCAGCTCTGCCAGACTGCCTACGGGTCAGGCTACGGCACGCCGTCGCCGGGCAGCCCGGCAGTGCAGGCACGGTACGGTAGAACCGCTAGAACGGTACATGTAGTGTGTAGTGAAGTGTGTACTCACTGTGTAGTGTAGTCACTGTAGTGTGAAGATGCATACACAGACTACACTGATAGTGTGATTATACTGATACAGGCTATAGTACAGCCAGCAGCAGGTGAGCAGGAGCAGCATTGTTCCTACTTGTCAAATGTCAATCAAAATCTCTTTTCATTTAATTGACAATGAATAAAATATATTTTAATTTAGGAGGTATGTTAAAATTTCCAATGATTATCAGTAGAGATTTTAATATGATATTTAAATCATCAAGAAATAATTGTTTTAAAAAATTTCACAGGTGATTTAAAAATTTCAAATTCAATGGAATGGATGAAATAAGCCAGCCTGATTCATTGGAGTTTTGTTAATTCACAAGGGGCTACTATCCAATTTTCAGGTTAGAGGGTTAGGTCCTTGTCCTGAATCCTGATAGGTAGGTAGGTATATTTAGTATAGCTATGAAATTACAAAATTACTTTAGATATAGTAGGGTAAACGCGGGATATTCCGTCACATTAAAGACGCATCAAGAAATGAAAAACTATAAAAAAATAACCGTATGCGTTACTCAAGTTCTGTTTGCTTTATGTGACTCTCAAAACACCGCACTACGCGTCAGCAACAACGAAACGTCACAAAATGTTGCCATATTTATTTAAAAGCCTTTAGAATGCAAACCTACCAAATCTCTATATTCCGTCACTGTGTGTGGCTATATTCGGCACGTGGTGAGGCATATTCCGTCCGCGCTTCAAATTCTACTGATACGTAATGCCATCATCCACGTGTTCGAATTCCGTTTGCTGTGTGAGCTGTATTGGAATACAACACGCCACACGGCTTTGAATTAGAACACTAAGGAAAATTGAACACTACTTAATTACGCATTTAATTAACAACTATTAAGCTTTTAATTAGCAAATTTCAATTTTTGTACACAGCTTGGAACGATCTGTGTGTGTCCAATTCAAGTTGTGACAGAATTAGTTTTCATGTGTCTAAATCCATTTCTCAACGTAATCATCTATTAATTTATTTACCACTTGAAATCAGCGAATACAAGTATACTTAAAGGATTCCTAATATATTCACAGACGTATTTAAAAGTCTCAAACCATAATATTCTTCCTATACAAACAGTTATTCACTATTTGGTAGAGCAAGGTCAACACGCAAATGTATGACGTCACCATTTCAACCATCAACAAATGCATGGAACTAAAACAAAGCTTTATATAAAGGAAAAACTAGAGAGGTGACGGAATTACCCACGATATCGGAATATACCGCGTTTACCCTATCTTATTATTTAATTATGTCCATTTTGCCACAAAACAGAAGTAAAACTTCCCTACTTGCTAGTTGCTACTAAAATCTTGCTGCTCTCCAGGCCCTGGGGCCTGGAGTGTAGAATTTGGTAAATGCATTGCCAATTTGTTGACCAAAACGTTCCCAACACTGACAGTACCAAGATGTTATGCAACATTGCTTGGAGTCTTCAAGATACGTTACAAACGTAATTTTCATCGTAATTTGTACAAAACCACATTTGATAAGTGTATGTTTGACATGACATCCCAGGTATTGTATTGCAGTAGATAGGACTGATAGGTACTACCTTGCAAGAAATTTGGAACCAAACATGTTGGCATTGTAAATGCCTTCATAATGGTCGTGTACCTCTGCAATTGAGGAGTGCAGTGGCTAAAAAGGAAATTGTGGCCTCAAAAAAGTGAGAAGCGTGATAGCTCCAATACAAGTGGGCTGGCAGCAGTGGCAGCAGGCTCCAATGTAAGCAGGCCATCAGCAGTGGCAGCATGCTGTACACTCCATTGCGGCTCCAAATGTAAGCAGGTTGGCAGCAGTGGCAGCACTCTCCAATGTGAGCAGGCCATCAGCAGTGGCAGCACGCTCTAATGTAAGCAGGTTGGCAGCAGTGGCAGCGCTCTCCAATGTGAGCAGGCCAGCAGCAGTGTCAGTGCTCTCCAATGTGATCGGGCCTGCCTTGACAAGTGCATTACACTGATTACAGCATTCCAGCACCCAATAACTTTCATTGCATAGCAAACAAGTGTCACATCATTAACAAGTAGCACTCAAGTTAGTAGCTCTAGCAGACTGGCTGTCCTGATGCATCTAAAGACCAACCACTTCCTACAATTCCACCATGTAAACCCAAATTACTGATTTGTTGATTGCATTTTGCATCCTCATCTGACCAACCAGAAGCAAGAAATATGAAAAACAATGCAGCCACTGCCCACTGGTGTACTTCCTGTTTTGCCATTAGTGTTGCACAAGATTCACGAATATTTAAAATGCAATAATTCCAATCAAAATGTGTTAGCAAGATCTGCTGAATTTGTACATTTTGCTACTGATGCAGCGTCAAAGATCTTCAGTTATTCACCCACTTTCTGCACCCTGGGCTACTCTAAAATAATGCATTTTCTCTACATTCTAAATGTTGCAGCCAGATTTCACACTTTCATTTACAATTAGAAGGAGGTATTTTAGCTAGCAGGTACTACCAAAAATGGTGGGAAAGCTCTAGTTACAGCTTGAGAGTTAGATATAGGTATTCAACACTTGCGACTCAATATTCTAAATTTGTCAAAGCAAAAGTATATGTATCTCACTTTGATTCTAAAAAATTTTAGCATATGTAAAGTAGGAAATTTTCAATTTTATTATATACTGTTATTTAGATATATGCAGATTTTTTTTTCATAAATGCTTTTAATTTTTGATGTTATCAATCACCATCTACAGTTGGAAAATAACTTAACTATTTGAGGATCATGTTCAAGTGCAAGCCCTCCTTGAAATATGACTTATGCTTCACAAAATTAGTTAATGTTCATAGCTTCATTAATGATCACCAGCCTTGTTTATTTGAACCAGCTTGCAAGAGCATTCTCAACATTTTATTTAATTGAATTTAACAAGACTGTCCCTAGAATTCATAATATAATGGGTTTTAAATTCATAATTGGATGGTAATCTTCTAATACTGTCAGGTTGAGATTTTCATCTGGTTTGGTTCCATGAATTCTATTTTGAAGAGAAATAGCAATTATGAATAATCTTTAATGATTTTGCTTAATTTTCAGAGCATTCCATTGATTTTTTATTTGAGCCATGAGTGAATACACAGCTGAATACATCCAGTCAAAGCTTGAGAAAGAGCTGAATGCAACCATTGTGGTAAGTATATAATTTACTTTTTATTGTTATTGTTATCTAATAATTTTATCCCTTCTAACTCTATTTAATTTATAAATAACTTTCAATATTTTACTAATGGGCCTTTTTTGTAGACTTGAACTATTGGCCAATTAGGTATATTTTTAATAAATGTTTTGAAAGTGACATTTGAATGATTGGTAAACTATGAGAATTGTAGTCATGCTGGCAGGGGTCTTATTCTTATCAATCTCCTTGAGATCAACTGTAAATTTTAAATGTTGTTCTTCCTGGTACATTTGTTTGCTGTTCTAATGATGGTTGGATGCTGATTGGATTCTTTGTCCGTAGGTTGTTTGCTGACAGCCTAAGCTGTGTGGTATGTGGGGACAGCAACATACTTGCCTACAACCTGCCTCTTGTTTAGCTCTCACATCTCATCTGTACAATATTACCTTGGTTGTCTAGTGCTTGACTGTGCAAGGTATCCACTCTAAACTGTATAAAAAAAACTACTCAAAATAGTGCTAACATTTTAAAAGGAAATATTGCTATTCTTTTTTTCTAAATCTGTTTCATTTGATGTTAAATTTTGTAGGACAATCAGTTACAGTGAATGAAATTTAATTTTAAATTTGTGTGATTTATTTACAAATTTCATTTAGGTATTCATTTCATTATATTTATTGGCCATGAAACCGGGACAGTCTAAATTTTGTACTTTTTATTAATGCAGTGATGAGGTATCTTGGTTAATTCTTGTTTAATATTTGTTTCTAATTCAAATTGTTTGGCTAAATTTCTTCTTATGATTAATTCATAGATATTGTCTATGTACACTCTTCTACACTTTAAATTCTATTTGTTGTTGTTAGATTTGAAATTATCATGTCTACCAAAATAATTGAGTCTGTGAGCATCATCACCGTGTTGGGCATTTTGCTTCGCTGGGCTGTCTCATTTCACCCGTACTCTGGTGCGGGAAAGCCTCCCATGTATGGAGACTATGAAGCTCAACGCCATTGGCAGGAAATAACTCTAAACCTCCCTGTTGCCTCATGGTACACGAACTCTACGGACAATGACCTCTTATATTGGGGGTTGGACTATCCACCCCTTACTGCTTACCACAGCTACCTCAACGCATGGCTTGCTTGGTACCTTAATCCAGATTACGTGGCCTTGTCCACATCTCGCGGTTATGAGAGTCCTGAGCATAAACTTTTCATGAGGTACACCGTCCTCATCGCCGATTTGTGCATCTTTATACCTGCTGCACTTCTATTTATGCGTGTGTCTAGTGGTTTGTATCTGTATAAAGTTGCCGCTAAATTCGACTTTTTAGCTTTGATGACTTACCCCGGCTTGATCTTGATCGACTACGGTCACTTTCAGTACAACAACGTATCTTTAGGTCTCTTTGTAGCAGCTGTGGCTGCCCTAACGGCCAGTAATGACACTCTCGGAGCAGCTTTGTTCAGTTTTGCTCTTAATTACAAGCAGATGGAGCTTTATCATGCACTTCCTTTCTTCTTCTTTCTGCTGGCGAAGTGTACTGCAGAAAAGTCGTGGTCGGAATCGCTTATTAAATTAGCCACCATTGGAGGAACTGTTGTGCTTGTTTTTGTCATCTTGTGGTCTCCGTACTTAACATCAATAGAATCATTAACACAGTTGATGAATCGTGTGTTCCCCATCAACCGTGGACTGTTTGAGGATAAGGTTGCCAGCGTCTGGTGTAGTCTTTCCATTGCCATAAAGTTCAAGGAGTTGGTGAATAACTTCCAGATGGCCAAACTGTGTTTGGTAACGACAGGCCTTTTGAGCTTACCATCATGCATTAACCTATTCCAAAACGGGACGATTGCTCATTTCAAATACTCGTTGGTTAATGTTTCATTCATCTTCTTCTTATTTAGTTTCCACGTACACGAAAAAAGCATTCTGCTGGTCGCCATACCCGCTTGCTTGTTGTTTTCCTCTGAATCATTCATGACAAGCTGGTTCTTGGGACTAACTGTATTCAGTATGATACCCCTCTTGGAAAAAGACGGCCTTTTCATCGCGAGTGTCGCTCTCATGCCTGTGCTTATGATCGTTTACCAAGTCACAGTTGCGCACTGCCAGTCCCTCAGCTTGCGCTGTGCTCTCACAGAGGGTCGAACGTCGTTGGATGTCTTCTTGAGACGCCGGGGTCTTGTTCTGTTCCGCGCGTCCTTCGCTCTCTGTGTGGTGCTCACGCTCATCTACAAGTGTGTCCAACCTCCTGTGCGCTATCCTGATCTTTTTAGTGTACTAATCGCCATTGTTTCATGCGCGCATTTCCTGTTTTTCGCTCTCTATTTCCACGTTCGCCAATTTTCTTTAAGCAAAGCCAAAGGTTTTGGCAAAAAGAAGAAGTAAATCATGCTCATGATCTTCTCTATTCATGTTGAGCAATAGGAATTTCGGGAAATTGTGGTGCTTCTCGGTAATTGATCCGGTAGGCAATATAGTTAAAATGTAGTATTGATTTTAACATACACTTCGCTTGTTAGTGAATGAAGTAGTTTTGTTTTATTTCTGACCTTGAATTAAGTTGTGCGTGTAGTGTTATTGTGTTATTAACAGGCTTAGATGTTTGTTCTGTTTGTTCGTCATTTCTGTTCTGTTCATCCATCAAGGTCATCAAAACACAATAAAACAGCTTTCATAGGGGATGTACCCAATCGATACATTTTTAAATGTGATAATCAATAAAATCCAGAATGCCAAAATTCGCTTCACTGTTCGCAAATAATCGTTATAATACTTTAGTTATATTAAATTACATAGTTGTTTTTGATTTTAGGAATTTGTTGTCGTAGCACTTGCGTATTTAATATTGTCAAAATTTTCTTATATCTTTGCTTCTCTGTTTGAAATATTCCATAATTTATTCATATAGTTGCATAATTGAATTTTGTCGCATTCTTTTGTATGTTGAAGTATTCAAACAACTAGGGTAATAACTACTGAACGTATTTTTGTTCATGCGGTAACTTTTTTGTGAAGAATTGGAATGTATATGTACCTTTGATTCGATCTTGAAATTTCCCTGAACCTTAGCTTGCTTAGTGTAAAGTAAATACATCTAATTTTAGTAAATATTAAGAAGTTCCATCATCTTGCGAGTTCAATGATAATATCTAATTTTGTTAGGCGTTTAAACGACCCAAGTCCCTCGTTCGTGAAACTGCGCTACTTTTCGGAATGCTTGCTTAAAATAGTGTGTACTGAAATTGCTGATGAAGTAATTTTCCTTTAAAAAATTGAGAAAAATTAAGTAATTTTGCTTTATTCCTTAGACGATTCCTTAGATTATCTCTCGTTAATGTGTAGTGATATCGAAACACTTGATTGAATGCTTAGAAATAATTCCTCTTGATTGCCATTACTTTTTGCTGAAAAATTTCACGGCAACTGAAATTGTTGAATATTAAAGTGTGCTGCTAAATAAAATCCCATTTTCATTTTCCTTTCTCTAACGTTATTTATTTATAACACGAATGCCTAGATCTCTGTACCTGCAAACCGTAAGTAACGCCAAAAGTTCAATAGATAAATGCTGATGTAGGAACGAATCTTGAATAGATAAAATATAATACTGGTTTTGGATTCAAAATTCGAAAATTATTTGTCCTTTCTAAACTTTAGTGTGCTCTAGAGAAAGTGAATGTGTATTAATAAAAAATGCATGGCACATCTTTGTCAATATCAAATCATTTAATTCATAAATTAATCCCAAGTTATCCCGGCGCAGCTGATGCTCCCGTAGCGTGTTAACTTTGAAAAAATGCAAACTGCTTGAGAACTACTGTGACTACTCAGTTCTTTTTTGACTCGATATAATCATGGTTTATTTCTTTATTAAGAAGTGGTTCATCAAAATAAGGAAAATCCTATCCTGGCTTGGAATTCATCAATTTTCAGTTTCATGTGAGCCGTTTGTATCATGGTATATGCCGCACATTTACTCACCTGTCATATTAATGTAAGAATGGAGTGCCGACTTTCTTCGGACGCATTTACAAAGTTTAAATAGATTACTGATCCACGTCCAAGCCACGTGTTCAAATATCGTTTACGACAGCGATTATGTCTTGAAATCAACGCAGAAATGTAAAGCGAGTGATTATGCTAGTATAATAAACAGTTCACTTGCATTTTATTTTGGGCCTGGTGGTCACCGTGCGAACGGTTATATGCTATTAGAATTCTGAATCATTTCAAAGCGTTGCAGTAGCCATTCGAACGATTATATGCTTTCTAATAAAATCACGAACACTTGCATTTTAGAGCGTGGAGGACGAGAGCTCCTTTGTTAGGCATCGCTAGTGGGGCACCATGATTGTATATTGCATTTCCATGCAAGCGATTACATTCTAGTATAATCATGAAACGCTCGCATTTTATCTAGAACGTGGTGGACGAAAGTGACGGGTGTGGTGGCAAGTTCAGCGTGGTGGTGGTGTCCACCGTCTTCCAGGGCAAGCCGCTCCTGCAGCGGCACAGGTAAGCTAGTCTGCCTACTCAGATTGTCTATTTTCAGATAGTGTATCGTATGTTTTTTTCATGATATATTGCATGAAAAAGTATGCTGAAACGTTAATTCAACTTCAAACTTTGCCAAGCGCATTTGTAATTGTTATGGTGTTCTATACATAAAGTAATTATAAAGTCGGTATAATTTTTTTCTGTTTTGATCCACTCGTCATAAATTTATTCAATGCGAACAACATTTTATGTTTGGTCTAGCGCATCGCTGGTATAAGTTGCCAAGTGGCCACCGGACTTTCATTTTTTACGGTCTCGGTGGCGGCACTATCGAGGGAGGCCACCTCCGTTAAACACTTTGACTACGATTGCTTCATCTTGTACTATTATTTCATTTTTTGTAGTGTTTTTAAACACGGTTGCCAGACGGTTATTTTTTCCGGACGAATTCCGTGATTAAGTTTTTCTCAATTGCGTTGGCCGGCTAAAATTTATTATAGGGGGACTTACTAATTGAATTTTAAGTACCGGAAGAAGAAAATAAACGGAATTTTTATAGCGGAGCCTACAAATAAACTAGTATATATTGGGTTATCGGCCTTTTTTGTTCTAGGATTTGGCCGATTTTAGTCAACCTGAATAATGCACCACTTCGTCCTGGAGAAATACATTTCGTGGTACGCATATGTACCACTTCGGAGTCAACGTGTTAATGATAGTGTATAAGCTTTTTTTTTTGTTTTTGTTTTGTTGAAGGAATTGAAATAATTAAAATACATCACAGCAATAGTAATATTCACGAATTAGAATCAAATGATGAAATAAATATTCTCAATAAAAACGCACTTGGTGCTCCGTGTGTTCGTATGCGTTCACGCTCCAGTAAAGTCGTGAGCTATTATTGCTCGCGCGTGAGGAAAGCTCGACGCACGGCAGGTGCGGCCGCGAGGCGACATGCGCGCGTCGCCAGACCCGCGCTCGCTGCAGCCACTCGCAGCTTTCTTTTCCTGCGTCGTCTTTCTTTCTGGTAGTCGATGTTGTTGATGGTTTGCAGCTGTTGATGACTGTTTTAGGGTTAATTGTTATTCCTTTTGCATTGATTGTTGTTTTTTTGCGCATTTTTTCATTTATGGAAAAAATGCACTATTGTGCTCGCCATGTCCGTCTGTCTGTCTGTCCGTCTTTCCATGACCTCAAGTTTTCGTCGACGAGAAAATGCGCTCTCTGTCACTCACTGCAGTGAGTACTGAGTTATATTTTTTTGTAATGTTCTTTTTGACGTTGATTTTGTCGTTATTATTTGCGTCAGTAATTTTATTTTGTCACCACTAACGTACCTACTTATCCGTTGTTGATGTCACTGCCGCTAATAACATGCTTTTTTCTGAGAATCACTTTCACTCAATGCGTTAGTATTTTGCGTTATTTCTTTGTAGCTACTGATGTGTTACTTTTTTATTCGTTTCCGATGAGGCTTTGTTTATTGTTGGGATATTTTTAACTTCACATAAAACTTCGAAAACAAACCAAAAAGACTATAATGCTTCAGCCTCCCGTAAGAAAACCTGGAGTGAAAAACTCGATAAACCCGGAATTTTGAAATTATTCATGTTAGTGCCACACATGTTTGTTGATGTATTGTTGAATTTTTGTTGAGTTTGAGAGTTCGTGGTAGCATGCGCCACATGTTGTGTGGTAGCATGCACCTCATATGTGGTGCTGCATAACGCTGCATCAGCGAACACCTCGCAGCTCGCTATAGCCCTGCCATCACCAGCGCTTGCTGACGCAGTCACACGCTTTAGCGGTGAACAGCCGCGCATTGCTGGCCCGATCTCAGCTGGTGTTGCACGTGAAAGCGAGGAGTGTACCGTGTGTCATTTTCGAACTGAATTGCATATGTATTTAGGTAAACTCATTCAGGGAGTAAAAAAGCCGATTAAGAATTTGTAAGAAGCGAGTTCCATGTACACTGCACTTTTGTTTTTCGATAATTGTGGATTGTCTTCTAACAATACAAATCATCTTGCGGTGAAACTAGACCCCCAGACGTGACCGATCCTGACACGGCAACTTCAGATATAGGCTCACTTAGGCACGACATGCAACTCTCTTTTAATACTACTAGGGTGTTCGATCCTATTACTTTGTTTGCACTACTCAAATTGTGTTATTCTCGTCCGCCTCTAAACTTATAAGAAAATTTTGGAGCGAGACTTAGCGGAATTATCTTTCATTGTACGCAATATTCTTTATATATTTTGTTCACCTGCTCTAAAGGAACAGTGCAGCTTCACCGATGTGCTGCGTGATCTTAAGAAAACGTAATGATGTATCAAGTGCTCTCGTTTTCGTGATTTTGTTACTCTGACATTATTATTATTACTGAATAGTGACATATGAGATGTAAGAATTAGATTCCTAATTTAAAGAAATAACACCAGTATTTATTCAGCAATGTAGAGTGATAAATGAGTACAAAAATTCATCACTCAAAATAAATGTGTAGATGAAACATTGACATATGCTTTTTACTTAAATATGTTGGGTTTTCTCACTAATTTTCTGAGGTACAGTGAGATTTATTTTGCTTAACTCGCAACAAACAACTGCACGGGTATATAAGTTGAGAGCACGTTGCGAGTGTGATTGCTTCCTTCCTAACGTGTTTAGCTCTGACATTTCAATGCTCTGTCTATCTATTTTAAACCATCTTCTTTCATGTGGTTTTAAGGCCTGGTACTTGAATGACTTCTAAGATAAGATATTTTGTAGAAGCAATTATATGTACAGTCTATAGTGACTATTCTACAACATGAAATCGTTCTTATGCAGCAGCGCACTGTTTGAAGGTCTGTGTTCTTTCTTGTTCTAGAGCTATTGTCCCACATTGAAGTGAAGCCCTATTTTGGATCTACGCAACCTTCATTTTAAGCTGTGCTATCTCCATTACGTGCGTTCTTCAATGTCTTGCAGTCTGTGCTATCTATTTGCAATCGAAAGAGATAATGGCTCGTATCATTTTCTTTGAGTGTTCTTTTGTCATGACAGAGGCATATAATCGTCAACCAAGCGCTTCAAGTGGCAGTGCTAAATCATAAGCTTTCCCTGGCAGTTGAATTATGAAGTGCGTCTAGGACGATAAACTTGCAAGAAGATAAGAAGTTCATTAAGTTCTCGAGTATTCATTACATCGAATCAAAGAAATTCGATCTGGCGTTGGCACAAATTAGTACTCGTAGGCATGTCATTCATATTAATCATCAGTTGGGACTATCTAGAGACGTTGGTGCTCAAAATTAGTTTCTTTATTTGGATTTAATTATGTGAGGAATGTTGAGATACGTTATCAATGCATTCGTCTGTTGATATGGGGTTTTTATTGTGAATGTGTCTAATTTCGTAGTTTTGTTAGATTGCATTTCATTCATTCATTCAATTTCGAGTCATCACAGGTTTATATTGGGAACTGTAGTGCATTAATTTTTATGACCGATAACATGATTTATCTAGAAAGTAATAGAGCTTTAATAACAAACTTGCATACGACGACAGTAGTTTTCAATGCCCCTAGTTTATAAGCCACAGTTTTAATATAGTTCTAACTGCTGATTTGAAGTTGTTTATAACTATTTACTTTTTTATCTGCATCACAATTTTACGATTCATTTAAAGGACGATTATCCTCAAAATATACAATTCGTGTTTTTTCAGATTGGTTAATTCCGTCCTGGAAGAAGAGCTGAAGAAGATACATGCGTTTTCCATGAAGACCTATACGCCGGAGCAGTGGGAAGCCCAACAGCAACAGTGAAAAGTTCAGTTCATCTCGGAGAGTTCATATTTTCCCCATATTACTATTTGATCAAAATTGTAACGTTTCAGTGTTGAACCAAGGAAAAGATTTGTATTGTACCTTTTGAATTTATTTAGCGCCTCGTATTATACGAAGTAATTCAAATTGAAAACTTTTCCATTTATTGGCTTTCACAATATACCGGATTGGGTTCAACATATTGCATATGTACGTTTGCCGAAGTAGAGCGAACCGTCAGTTGTTCCTTTTTTGCTAGCTAAATCTTCGGTTCATTTGTGTAGGACGACAGCAAAGTTTTTGTTGGATCATTACAATAACAAGGCGGTCATGTCGAAGTGTGCGCCTCCGACTTTCGAGACGCTCGTGATATCTGCCCCCGGCAAAGTTATTTTGTTGGGTGAGCACGCCGTGGTGCACGGCAAGCGTGGCGTGGCGCTCAGTCTGGACTTGCGCACGACACTTACCCTCACCAGTAACAATGATACGCTTTCTCTAAACCTGCCGGACGTCGAAATCAAGGAGTGTTGGCCCTTAACCGAAGTTCAGAGACTGTGGGGACTGCTCGGTATCAAGAATCACAGGGAATTCAAGGCAGACGCTGAAGTCGCTCATCTCAAACCCGAGCAGGGAAAAATAATAAAGCGTTTCTTGGGTGTCACAGAAAATTGTCAGTCCCAGAGAACTTTGGCTCTATTGTCCTTCTTCCACTTGCTTACGAACATTCTCCCAAGCCCCGCGAGTTTTTCTATTCACGTCAGTAGCCAGATACCCACGGGTGCTGGGCTTGGCAGCTCAGCAGCTTACGCGGCCTGTCTTACTGGAGCTTTGTTGGTCTTGGCTGGCCGCGTGAAAGCCGACGCCTTCCGATCTGAAACTGCAGAGACAATCCGACTTCCAGCGCTGGAGCTGGCGAGTAAATGGACTTTTACTAGCGAAACCATCATGCACGGGTCGCCTTCGGGCATAGACAATACTACATGTTCAATGGGTGGCGTAGTGAGCTTTAAAGATGGCGATATACATTCTTTGGGCCCCTGTGGCCTGCAAATAATGCTGGTCAATACCAAAATTCCTCGCAGCACCAAAGCACTGGTAGATTCAGTGAGGCAGAAGCTGCAGCAGTATCCTAAAATTATCAACCCTATTCTTCAAGCCATTGATTCTTTGTCTGAAGAATCGCTGTTGATTCTTAAGCAATTATCTACATTGCCTTCCTCTGAATCCAATGGCCATGAACCTGTTGAAACAGAAACTGATGTCGCATCTGAATCTGTTCTGTACCAAAACCTGGGAAACTTGATAACAATCAACCACAGTTTATTATGTGCACTTGGCGTATCACATCCCAGCCTGGAAAAGGTGGTGCAACTTGCGGACGAGTTCGGTCTGCCGGCCAAGCTCACGGGCGCTGGTGGTGGTGGCTTCGCTTATATTTTGCTGCCGAAACACAGGAAAGCGGACGCCTTGAAGCAGTGCATGAATGCACTCCTGGAGCTGAATTACCAAGCCTGGATTGTAGACTTGGGGGTGCCGGGCTTGTGCCTTCACAGCTGCAGTTGATCGTTACTGCTGTCATTAAAGTCATCTCGCTATTTTGTTTTAAAAATGTTATGCATGCTTCTGGGTTATGGTGATTTTATTCTATGCACGATATATGGTGCACGATTCACCATTGGAATTACACCCTATTCCTGATCTCACGCGTTCGTTCCTTGATTTTTCTAATCAAAACCATCTCAACGCCAGTATTTCGACCCTTTTCTTGAAATGATTCTAATTCTAAGATAATTTATAATTTCGAGTTGTATGTTTCTTAGATATTATTCCGAAAAATTCCTAGCTTTATAGACTGTTTTCCCTGAAATTATCCAGCGACATTTTCATCAATTTTGTGCGCATGATGATTTATTAATGAATATTAGAGGACTGAATTTATCAAAATTATCACCAAAGTATCTTTTTGAATAACTGTAATTTCAATACGAAAACTGCGTTAAATGGGCGCCGTAAAATCCGCCGTAGCGCGACTTGCCTAACATGGCATTTATCGAAGCAATATTGCCCAAGACCGTTCAATTATCACGTTAGTTCTTTGCGTAAATTTTGTGTAAAATATGACTAACTTGGCTCAATGCATCGACTTTTGAGTGGTACTGGGTCCCATTGCAAGATGTTAATATGCCTTTACAGATGTTGAGCTTACTGTACAATATTTATGTATTAGATGGATAAATGAAATCAAATGCAATTAAATTGCTATTCATTTAATGATATGTAATAATATTGTCTTGAATCTGTTACAAACTTAGTGGTTGTTGGTGGTTCTCACGTCGCAATAGCTCGATGGTTTCTTGAATGCGAAATCATCTAACCTTGTTCGAGTTCCAACTCATGCTTCATCTGATAAACAATGCGCTGGCGTTTTACATTGTGTCTATCAAGGTGTAAATTTTTAATCGCGTTGTTCATTGAGATGCTGTCGATTCATCATGTACCATTCGACATTAATTGAATACGTCTAGTACCTATTCAATTTCATAAAATTTGCGATCTCAAAATTTTTACCACGGTTGAACTGATGGTAGTAATGCTTACAACTGTACATTTATTTATACGCTTTCATATTTGAGGCATTTTGATTCTTTGAATGTCCTTCTTCAGTGACTAATACGAAGGAAGTTGATTGTGAAATATCTTCATCTTAAGGTGCTTTGGAACATCACAGGATTTATGCTTAAGATCCCTGAAGACCATACGTAACATTTTGTTCACATGAGCGGTAATGACGTGTGATATGACCTATAAAATAACTGAAATTTTTTATTTCGATAATCTGTTACTTCGTATTCTCTGATTTTTTTTTCTTGTTGACCTAAAGCCGGCTAACATTCACTGTGCTAATTATAATAATTTTGTTTGCTTCTAAAGCCGACTCTGTAGGTACATCTTTCGATTTTAAATGTTCTTTTTGTTAAACTCATCCTCGGAATGAGGAGTTCACCCTATAAATCCCATTGATCTTCTAATAAAGATTCACTTGACAATTTGCATTCATGAAATCCGACTTTTGACGACCAAGGAAAATAATTTTTTGTTGACAGCATTGCTTGTATTAAGTTTTTGTAAGCTTAAACAATTCAGCGCATAAATTTAAAATTATTTTTTGGTACTTTGTCCAGTAAATTGAAATTTTTTTCATTACCTATAGGTTCGTTTAATCATGACCAAGATATCACATATGCTGCAATGTAATTCGCACAATACAATAAACTAATCCAATCTTTGACCTGTTCATGAAGAATCTAAAATATCCGCAAGATTTTATGACGAGAGTTATGAATTGATTGTACGCGTTACAGGTTTGCGCAAAGGTTATCTCACCTTATTTCTCGAACGTATTTTTCCTGACCTAAAATCTGCTACGAACAGTTGTGTCTTCAGTAATTAAGCTCTATGTTGAATCTGTCCCATACGCTCATCTCTTTCTTAGGTCCTTTGATTGGTGGAAGCTCAGAAGTAAACTTCAGAAGTGGCAGAACCTGCGCGGCAAACAAGGGTCAATTAACAGCCAACACATGACTTCAATATTGCTCATTATCTCCAAACTTTACGAAAGTTTGAAATCTAGAAAATTCAATCGAAAACTACATAGAATAATTTGTGTCTTGATTCGATCGAAGAAGGACTAGGAAACCTCACCCGTAAACACATTGAAATCATTACTAAATTACACCAAGTGACTGACTATCACGAGGGTATGACACGCTTCATTTTGTAATGCATGTCAGTGGAAAGAATAAAGAACGCGATAATAATTAATTAAATTTAATGTTCCAGTATCTGGCAAGGAATTATATCGATGATCTTGAATCATGCCCCGTTTGTAAATTAATTTCATTTAGCTCCAAGCAAGTTAAGCATGAGAACTAAACAGGAGATTGAGTGATAACTTTAAATAGATTAAACGATCCAAAATTCTCTAGGGGTGGATAGAGGCACGTATTCTTCCTGCGATTGTGAGCAACCTACCTATGTAAAAATTTTCAACTTAACCTTACGCCTACTGGTACACTAAGCGTCGTTAGTGAAATTCGTACCTGACGGCCTCGTAACTTGTCTGCAGACTAAGAGTTTACTACATCTCGACTTATCCAAGTCCTTGGTGGATAGCTAGCTAATAACACTCGCCTTGCGGTGCTGCAGGGCGAGTCTCTGCTTGCAGAACTCGTAAAGCTCCAACTCGTCAGCAAGTTTGGACCGAAGAACATGCAACGCCTGCGTTGAGAGCGGCTTCGTCCGTTTGGGCAGTCGGTTAACGTTCCTGTCTTCTTCGAACTCTGCCATAACAAGATAACAGTATTTTTATATGAACAATTTCTTTAATATGTGTCGAAATTTAAATTTGACACATGAATGGAAGGGAGTGCAGCCGTACACTACCAATTTTGTGCACAAATCACCCCTGAATGGAACGCTTAGCATATTTTCGTAAGACCACTAATCGTAGATAAAGCATACCGTCCGTAATTAGCCCATGACATTATCTTTTTCTGAATATTAGTAGCTTTGATCCACAATAAACGAGAGCAAATAAGCTAGAGTTTAATGATCACCGACCACTGAACAATAAGTCGAAACATTACTTCACATCCTGACTATAGCTCGAACTGTAGCGTACAACGGACTGCCCCCAATCGGCCTTGCTCGTCAGGGGAACTGCATGAAACCTGCCTTGCACCATCAGGCCGCAGATAGAATACGACTTTCAATGCATCCTCAAATTACGAAACTTTTAGCTTACAGGATTTGAGGTTAGGTTTCAGAAAGCATAATTCTGTTTCAAAATCTATCGTCTTTCGACATTACGCCGTTCGACCGTGGGCTGCTTCGATGCACGGGCGACATACGGATGGCAATCCATTCGTATGTCGCCCGTGGCTGTATGTACTGCAAGGTTCCGGCGCGCTATATATGTCAAAGCGATGCAGAATTTTTTCTTGCATCGTCTGCGCGCTGGCAGGCGATGCTAGGGCATAGTATAGCAGGCTGTTTACCTGTGGGCTGATTTATCTACTTCAATGGGTGTGAATTATCTGCTGATTTGCGGCTGATAATGGTGGGGAAAGTGTTGGAGGCTACGTTCTTGAGGGAAGGGATAATGATAATTCATTCGAATCAGGACTAGGGTTGTCTGCAACAGTCGTACCAAATTCTGACGTATGAAATTACTCAACGCCTAATGAATACGTGAGAGCTTGGATTGTGAACTCAAGAATAATAATAACTCAACTGTTTTCTTAGTGCGTGGCAAGCGAAAGAAACTCCCAGAAACCAATCGATTTCAACCTTGTTCATTTCCTACAACTAGCAAGTTCTTGAAAACTTCTAACAAACTTGGATATTATATCGATCGATTTTAAGATCTTTCAAGTGTAAGAACTGACCGGGACTCCAGTAGCGCTGTAAAGCGCCTTGGAAGAAGGCTGGAAGGTAATGCTGCAGCACAGCAAGCGTGGCGTTCCATTCCTCGAGCACTCCCACCACCGAGTACTCGTACTCCGCAGTGTACTTAGCACGCTGCAGGGCCTTCTTGTTGCCGCGCTTACTGATGAATGGTAACGAACGTTAGAATAGAATAGAAATGTCGGCACTGAAGAAATAGGCCCATGACAAACGTTACTTCATTCGAATACGAAAACAAAAAATTTTAGAGAAATTTTCTAAATCTTTTCTAGAAATTTTCCAACTTGACAATTTCCAGGCACGAACTACAATCGAGGATAAATCCATGACAAAGAATCATAATATTTAAATAATCATAATATTTAAATAGTTAAAACTTCTTATAGGGTTTGAACACTGTGAGCGATAATGTTGAATACATCCAGCAAATTTACCGTACTACTTCCATTGCCGCCTTTTAAAATAAAATGTTGAACAAAAATCGTACACGCAGAAGTCGTGTTGGCCACACAAGAAGGGCACTGAGCGTTCGAAGTCGACCTCCCCTTCCATCAAGGCGCATTCTGCGGCCTCGTGAAGAATGCAGTCATCCAGTTCTTGCCAGTACCATCTTCGACCTACGGCGCATTTGCCTCATCATTACACATATATCAATATACTCTGCAACATAAAATTTAATTCATGCTCTACAACAGAATTCCCATGCATAAATATTGAGTGACAAACGCCTCATCAATCGAAATTACTTCTAACGATATTAAACGAAATTTTAGTCTATTTGACGTAGCCATATCAGACCCCGCACCCCTACGACGAATATGAACGCTTCTAAGTTCTAATCACTGAAACAAAGATGTCCGATGCTTGGAATGGTGATGTCAGAAAATATGATGCTTACATCAAATGTTGATGCAAAAAGATATGTATCTCAAAGAACTCGCGCACCTGCTCCCGGGTTTTTGCCGTCCAGAGCTGCCATGTATTTTTTGGAAGTATCGCGGTGCGTGCGGCGATGATGGTACTGAGAGATGAACTGCTGTACAGGGTCGCGCAGCAGCGTGATGCTCGCGGGTCGCTGTTGCACGTATGGACTGCCATGAGCGATATTAAATATTAGCAAATACCAAAATCGAACTATATTTGGAAGAAATATATATATATAAGCTTAACTAGCACTCAAAAAGTTATTTATATCTCATTTATTCATAGGACGCCATGGCAAAACTTACCTAGTTTATTTGCAAACATTATTTTTGAACGTTAAATCTCAGATACCTCTCAAGTATTTCTCAGTTGGTATGCATGCTCCAAGAAATATTTAATGCGCGATTTTCGGTTACTCAGTATTTCAGACATTGTTGAGTTCCTTCATGCCATAATACCTTTTAAATTCTGTGAAGTTTATGTACAACGCAAGTCTGTCGTATGTCTTCGGCCAGAAGTTGTACTCGAACCAAATGGCTAGGTTCCGTTGCTCATCTTTGGTCATGAACCTGCACACAATATCAGTGACAGTACGAACTGTATTTATTAATGAAGATATAGGTTAATATAACTTCCGGTAAGCATATACTACTACCTAACACACTTAATCAATTCAAAAACGAATGAGTGACATAGTTATTAAAGATAGGAATAAATAAACAACTGCATAAACATGTATAACGGGTATAACATTAATCATATCGTTTAGTTTCATTTATTCATAAGAGTTTAATGACACACTTCAACTTTAACGCTTTTTATGGTTAATAGTAATGTCAAACGTGCTGCTTCTCTAAAATGTTAACGCACCTCTGCCACGGTGTTCTGTACACGTGCTCCTGATGCTGATAATCGAGATCAGATCCAAGCGCCTGCAACAAGGCTACCAACGTCTTCCCGCCACTGCGCGGAATGCGGTTAAAGAACAGCCACATTTGTTCGGGCATGGTATTGTTCCGCGACGACGGCGCGATCGCGCGGGTCATCAGGTGCTGTAGGACCTCTTGCTTTTCATGCCAGTAAGGCTCCTCTGTGGTCAACCTACAGAATAAAACTATGCAATTTCTGCAGAAAAATCCGCGATTAACATTATTTATTATTTAATGTACCTGTAAACTAGACTCGAATTGAAGCTTTGAATGATATTGTTTTTTTAAGTACCCGAAAACAAAAATCAATCTTTGGCGTTAGAAGGCATGTATCAGTCTTCTAATTTCACGAAGTTTCTCACTTTTGAGTTGAATCCATCTTAATTGGAATATCATGGATATTATTGATGCGGAGTGGGGCAGTGTTGTGAAGATCCGCTGTGTCATCACCACTCGAGACAGGCGCGTGCCGACCTATGAGTCCTGACGACAGCAGCAGCGAGACTGCATACAACTTCAGGGTCACCACCACCGCTGCATACGGAGCAAGCCTGCGAGACGAGACGGGAGAATAAAACATAAGATTAAGCAGTGAAAGCTCACTGTCAAGAAATTGATGAGCTAATGATAATTTCCAGCTATTGTGTCAGGAGCCAATTAATATACCCGACAACCGTTTGAGACCGATTTCTTGATCGTTCGCGTGAATCCGGTAATTATTTTCGATTGGACAGTTTTTAGTATTTGCAGCAATTGGACGACGTTTTAAAAATCTCACTTAAAAATTTGAAAGTGAAGCCAATTTAGATTATTTTTCAAAACTAACTTAACTAATGAGTAAGAGTTAACAACTTTCCTTAAGACTTCTCGAAAACTCGGAGTTTATTTTTTCAAATATCATTTCTAAGCGAACAACCTAGAAATGAGCTTTCATTTTTCAGTCTCTTGAAAAGAGCTTTCATTGATAATCAAAAAAGGTCATATCCTATTACTAGTAACCCTACGCATACATCATACATCTATCGTCATACATTTTCCTACATCTAGACCATAGATTTCTTCAAAAATCATTCAAGCCGCAACTATACAGAGGAGTAGCCAGGCACCTGAGAAACGGTCCAGCAGCTGACGCTTCCAGCGACCGCTGCAGCTGCAGCAACCTCAATCGCATCGCTGCCTAGGGATGTGCGAGTGTGCGGTGTCACTCATATAAATAATGGGGGAAATTCTGTCCATACAGAGTGGACAGAAAGAGGCAAGGAGAAATGGAAAAGACTATGGATTAAAATCACCGAAAAAAGTGTGAATGAAGTAGAAAATCGGATGAGTTTTCAGATAACAAATTCAATGAATGGCGATCGGATTTGTAGGAGAGGATGACAATTCTCGATGCAGCTGACCGGTATAGTGTTTAGTTAATGAGTGCGCCACAGAAACTTACTTATTTGAAAGGTCAATAAAAACAAAAGTACTTCAGTTATTGTTTTAATTTTTTTTTATTCGAGAAAACAGTATCCCAAATTTTTTTTCATACAGTTTTGAAAATTAAATCTCATGAATGACGGCCTCCATTGTGCATAAACTAATGAAGTCGCTTTTTTTTATAATGGTTTCCACTCTATGCAGCATATCAATCGGTATTTTGGCAATGACGTCGCGAATGTTGTTCTTGAGGTGTGCTATGGTCCGTGGTCGATCGACATAAACCAGAAATTTCAAATATCCCCATAAAAAGAAATCGCATGGAGTCAAACCTGGAGAGCGTGGCGGCCATTGGAGATCGCCTCTGGGTGAGATGAGGCGGTCGGGGAAATGATGTCGCAACAAATTAATCGAGTCTCGTGCTGTATGTGTTGTGGCTCCATCTTGCTGAAACCACACGTTCCTAAAGTTCATTTGTTCGAGTCTTGGAAGAAAAAGTTCCTCGATCATGTTCCTGTAACGAGCTCCATTAACGGTAACGGCGCGTTCGTTTTCTTAAAAAAATAAGGACCAATTATTCCCATTATACCGACGTCGCACACCAGACAGTAACTCGCTCACAGTTAAGTGGCTTCTGGTGAAACTCACGTGGATTTACACCACACCAATAACGCATGTTTAGCCTGTTGACGCAGCCGGAAATGTGGAAGTGAGCCTCGCCAGTCGCCACTGAAAAAAAAAACGACCGCGTCTTCAGGCAGGTTGTCAACCAACATTTTACATGCATTTTGACGGGCAACAAAATCGCGTTCAGGTAATTCTTGCACTACAGCAAATTTATTTGAGAAACTTTGAGAAACAAACTTGGGAACTTTCCCCTTCAGATGCACCCCCTCTCGCCCCTCTACCCGACCAACTAACCGCACAGGAATTTTTTCAAATAAGTAAGTTTCTGTGGCGCACCCTGTAGTTACCTACTTCTGCTGCTGACACTAGTCTGGTTCTAACAACTTCATATAATTAGTTTATTTCAAGCATCTCAATCTCCATTCGAATATTGTTCATTAGGATTACAGTACGTGCATCAAGCAATGCTATACACACTGATGAGCTGCAGCACAACAAAAGTTAAACAGAAAGCAATGTTCCATAAAATTCACTATTCCTCGCTTGAGGACGCAAGTGTGATTGGTGAAGCCTGTGTAGAAGCACCCGCTACTGTGCTACAGTTCATTGCCTGCAGTACAGTAACTCCCTCCTGAAAATGACGCTCATTCTTTTTCTCGCATGACTGATGCTTCATTTAGATCGAAATCGAATGCCGTTTCTACCGCGCATATTTTTACTTCATCCAAATATGGAATGATTTGTAATCATATCTACACTGAAATGTAACTGAAAATACATTGCTTCTTTCTCACTTTTTGATAAGATTTAGACTAGCTATTTATTTTAATTAATCCAAAAATTATCCTGAATTTTATAATATGTGCACAGAGTACATCCTGAATCGTTATTTTATTATTTTTATTGATGACAATATTATAAATTGCGCGAAATTTTATACAGATTTTGGTTTTGACATTTTGCCCAAGTTGCAGATCATTTCAATGCAAGAAAATAAAAACATTTACCAAGTCAAACCATAATTATTGTTCTATGCACTAACAAATTTTTCCACAGAAGCCATTTCATAAAATCTATTTATTCTACTAGCAGCACGATTAGCACCAGTCAGCACGAGCACCGGCTCAACAATGACGCGAAGTGAAACGTTTCCCGCTCTTCCTAGCTTGTGCTCAGGAAGCTCACCAACATCTACCTATAGAATCATCAGCGCAAAACGGTACATGATAGCTGCAGGCCGCAGCAGTATAAATAAGGTCGAGTTATGCTCTTGTTCTGACGAATAATGACACAAATTATACGATTTCACTGTTCGAAAAGGAATTACCTCACTTTCACATGCATGATTTATATTTAACTCCCTTTAGACTTTAGAGCAGTGGTCCCCAAACTTTTTCAGGCTGGCGCCCAATTTGGCTCCCTAGTGAACTTTCAGCGCTCCCCACAGACACATATAAAAACATACGCCTCTTTCTTGAAATTTAGTACGCTGCAATTTTGATAGATAAATGTTAAACACAAATGTGAATTTCACAAATAGAACCCCATTTAGTGAACCAATATGTTTTTAAGATGTTTTAACTGTTTCAGCACAAGAAACCTAGGACGTCTCGGGCGAATTTACGGCCGGACTCGTGGCCAGTGCGCACGACAAATCTCCAAATTCAATTATCAAGTAGGCTAATATTTCCCAAATTAATGAACGCAGTTCAAGGAAACTTGGAACATATATTCATCAGAACCTAAGGTTGATTTTTAGTTCGTAAAAATTTTTAAATTTCACCTTCATTCGTGAGTTATATTGCGATAAAGGCCGAAATTCGCAGTGATCAAAGAATTTTTTCCAAACTACTGAACAGATTTGAACGACATTTTGAATATACAGTCCTAGCTACCAACCGTTGATTTCTTGGCTTATAAAAATTTTCGATTTTACCTTCGTTTGCGAGTTTTTTTTTTTCATTTCACAGTCATTCTTGGTTTCACACTTCCTTATATTCGGCCCGTATCGCCGGATAATTAATTTGTCGCTTAAATTCGCGGTGATCAAGAAATTTCTTCTAAACTACTGAACAGATTTCAACGAAACTTTGTATATAAATACCTAACCTCTCAACGGTGATTATTAGCTCGCGACAATTTTTCTATTTTGTTTTCGTTTGCGAGTTATACAGATATAGGAGGAACGACCGGCTTTTCAACCGGCCGGTTTAACCAAGAGCCGTTTACGTATATCCGTATACGTATAGCCGTATAACTCGCAAACAAAGGCAAAACGAAAAAAATATAGCGAGCTAAACGTCACCGTTGCTGAGGTTAGGTATTTAAATACCAAGTTTCGTTCAAGTCCATTCAATAACTTTGGAAGGAATTTCTTGATTACTGGGAATTTAAGCACGTATTGCTGTTTAAATCAGGGATGAAGGTGAAATGAAAAAAAAAACTCGCGAACAAAGGCACAATCGAATATATTTTCAGTAGCTAAACATTAACGTTCGATAGTTAGGACTGTAAATTCAAAACTTCGTTCGAATCTGCTCAATAGTTTGGAAAATGTTTCTTGATTATCCGGTACTGTGAATTTCAGCCCGTATTGCCATATAACTATGTCAAAAACAAATGAAGGCAAAATAAAAAAAAATCACAAGCTTAAGATTGCCGTTAGGTCCTAATGAATACGTGTACCAAGTTTCATCAAGTTAAGTCATTAGTTTGAGAGATATTACTTAAACATTGAATTGGAAATTGGCCGTGAGATCGGCCGCGAGTCCGGCCGTTAATTTGTCCGAGACGTAAACCCAGTAGAGGTTAAAGAAACAGATCTGGGTGAAAAAGCCATCGCTGGGAGTCATGTGCTGCACGTCTTGTGTCCAAATCTTCACGCAAGCGTTCGAACTTCTGACCTCGACTTCGGACTACCGCCCCCCTATCGCCCCCAAATGCTTTCTTCTTCCTTACCGCCTCCCAAAATCTTTCCACCGCCCCTAGGGGGGCGATATCGCCCACTTTGTGAACCACTGCTTTAGAGCGATACCTTCTATAAGTGACTTGATGAAACGTCAACAAGTACTAATTTCATTCGGATCTTATGCGCAGTTCTCACTTCTAATGTTTGATTGATCCTGTAGACGTTTAGTGTACATTATAAATTAGAAATATTCGAGCGTAGCCGAATATAAACAGAACTAACTTCTTGGAACGCAGCACGACGTACTTGATCGACCATCGAGCGTTCGGTGAATCATTATGAATATGAGTGGACGCTGACAGCTCTGATCGACCGAAATTTCATTGTTTATTTCAAACTGACTGAATGCTGTATATTATTCATGAGCAAATAAACACGCTCCAAAATACGTACATTTTTTCGTACCTTTGTATCTTGTCAGTTAATAGACGATTCGTTGCAGAGAACTGACGAGATGCACGTCATTGACTGAATATTTGCTTAGGCTTTATTTACTTTAGCTTTATTTACTTAACCTTTATATATTTAAGCTTTATTTAACCTTTATTTACTTAGCCATTATTTACTCAGCCTTTATTTACTTAGCCTTTACTTGGCCTTTATTTACTTAGCCTTTTTTTACTTGGCCTTTATTTACGTAGCCTTTATTTACTTAGCCTTTATTTACTTAGCTTTTATTTACTTAACCTTTATTTACTTAGCCTATATTTACTTAGCCTCTATTTACTTAGCCTTTATTTACTTAGCCTTTATTTATTTAAGCTTGTAATTGCAATTGGTTTTGATCCAACAAATTATCCGTGGAAAATCTGCTATGAAAATTCTTCCCAAAAGTTTCCGACTGGTGAGATCACCCTAACATTCGTGTCGTGATCTAAATCACATTTATTTTTACTGAGAATTCATGTACACAGTGCAATGTTAGCTTGATCATTGTGAGCCACTCAATGGGAACATCCTCCTTCTTAGGTCTTATATATTTTTGGCCAATGGCTTCGGTTATATGGTGCAGTTAATTAGGAACTTTGTTTTTCAATTGAGAGAGTAAATAGTCGTCATGAAAAAGGTTGAGATAAGTAAATGTAGCGTCTGGCAACCAAACGCTCGTTTCCAAAACAAAAAGCAGGGCAGTCAGAACCGATTTCGTCCCAGTTGCGTGAAAAGTGTAGCGGCAAACCAGAGGGCAGACTGCAGCTTCAGTACGCTTACAGCAGCCGTGTGAGGTGTACGCGGCCAGGTCGCGAATCCTGACTTGACTCTGTTTCTTCGAATCGTTCATATTCATCTGATGAATTTCCAAACTAAATTATTTTATTATATACTTTTTATAATTTTCGTAAAGGAATACAAGAATGTTAGCGTACGTATCTCGTTGAAGTTATGCGAGGTTAAGCATTGCAGTTCAACATCAAGCAGGGAAGATCGATGGGTAGCCATGCATCACTAATCATTAATGGAGTATCTTTAGGGTTGACTGATCTATGCATGGCAAAAATGGTATTTTATGAAGTATTTTCCCTTTGAATTAATAAACAACTTTTAAACCGCAATAAATTGATGAGAAATAGCTCGTGCATTAAAAGCTATATAGGTAGCTCAATTAGGCTACTAGGAATAGCTACTGACGAATGAAAATGGTAGGCCTAATTCACAAATTTTGACAAAAATTATTGCTGGATATGAAATGCTTGGTTTTAAGGTTTTCTCATTATCTCATTATTTTATTAACTCAAAAGTAACCAATTTAAACCGGTTTAAACTTGATTGTATGGCCCGTTCATGTGTTACAGTTGAATATCAAACTTAATTCCCGCGGATTTAGTGATGGGTAAAACCCGAGGATCAAAGAATAAATCACTAATTACTACTATAGTTTTCGCAGTATTATAATGATTTTTTTTCTCTTTTGGAAACTTAATATGAGGTATCAAAGATTGGTTTAGCAATTATTGCTAGTTATGCTACTGCTTGCGCGCATGTGTCGATGCCAAATATTTATGTATTTCCGTCGATAGACATGTTGAATGCATTCGAACCCAAATTGCCAGCATATTTTAGACTTTATTGACGGACTAAGCACCCTGGGGTGTAAATTCACTCCAATCGGAGAAACTTGATACCGGAATTGAACGTGACTTATTAATATGGGTCAACATATGTAGTTTTTAAATTTTAGTTGATTTAATCTACTAATGGAGCAGCTTGATATTTGAGTCAAATTTTCAGTAAAATTGTTTTTAATGTTCAAAGAGTTCGTTTATGAAAAAGTAATTAGTTGAATTCCTTGCTATTGCTTCAATTGAAGTAAATTACAACCACTGTAAATGACAATTTCCGAATAAAACGTATAAATTATGCTCATTATTAGCTGCTAATGAATCCCAGTTTCGTATTGATATATATTTTCACTTAGATGAAGTTTTACTTAACTGTTTTTTGTCAGCACTCGCCTTTCTTCTTCACATCTATCCCAACTCGGTTTAAATCAAACGTTGGCCTTACTATTCCCATAACTGTTGAAGCTCCTACGCCGCCCACAAGGCGAAAACATCCAGTAATGTGGATTCCCTCGGCTATACCCGTCCAAAGGTCACGAGTTCGTGCCACTTACGCGGTTATTCATTTATTGAAAATTGGGCAAACCCACTCAGACCTCAGTAACTTATTCATGTTGTATTGACTTCAAGAACGCCTCTCTTGAATGAATAAAAAATCCTAATTGACGTTTTGTTTTCGTAAGTGTGCACAGCTTCATTCGAGTGATCGAAATTGTTGTTCTGTGTGACAGAGAAAATATGCATTCATGTCTGGGATGATTGAACTTATCTCTGAAATGTATTGGATGCTCGTGACACCTAATTGGAAAACGTTGCGAGTACTAGAAATTTTATTTCACACATATACCACCTTTTTTGAGAAGTAAAAATATCAGCATCTGTCAAGCGGACGGCGCTTAATTAGAGAATTATTCTGGTTCATATTTATTTACAGATTATGAGATACATTATCCTATAAGACGAATAATATATGTTGACATTAATTTCGAGTGAGTAAGAGAATGTAGCTTGCGGCTGTCGCCGTGTTGGAGTTAGCGGCTGGAAAGACGAATTGCAGACGAGATCGATCTGCACGAGCATTCGAACTCTGAATAACGAAGAAATGACATTAACATTTCACATCAAAGCTTAATTTGTGTGCAGAAATTATTAATGTAATTACTATCGAAGCCTTTGTTTGATATATTTGGACAGCAATATATATTTATTGTATTAGAAAAACCTAAATCATTTGTTTCCAATTCAGTCCGCAGTCCAGTGTTGTTTGTATCGTCTGAAGTAAGCGTAAAAAGAGTACATATTCCGTTGTGTCGTAATAATCGATGTTATTTGCGTCCTGTTTTCCAATTCCAGTGATTATCTCATGGCAATCGAACGAGAGACTATCCTTGGTGCTGGAAGAATACAGGCTATGGTTAGGTGACGTACGCATCGATCGCGGCGATGCGTGGTGGCGACTATGAAGTCTAAACGTTTGTTTAGTGGCTGAACTATTGAGCTGCAATGGCCATGAACTGTAGCGCCCTTATGCTTTTTGACCGAATACCTTATGAGTCATGACTAGGGTAGACTCTCAGAAAACTTGGGTGCAAGTATCCCCGTGCTGATGTAAACTTGTGAATAAAAGAAAAATTCGTTCATAGGAAACGTAAAATGGAAACTGAGTTCACAACAATGCTGTGTCACTACTCACTTGACAATGGTATCATAACTTGAGCACAGTAGATATAAAAATAAGTCATCGCTCCGAGTAGCTGTAACGTGCACATCAGCCGTCTTTATTTTGAGGGTTTCATATCTTAGATGTAATTAATCCCTTCCGATTTTTTACAGTGATGCATAAGCCGTAGGAAAAAATGTAAATTTTTGTTTTCCATTTTCTTTTTGTGAAACTGACGGACAATTGGTATTTTGCACACAAATCTGTAAAATTCGTCACTTTGTTGTCATTTTTTTGTCAAGTTTATAATTCGGCTTCATTCATGAGCTGACCTAAATAATTAAATTGAAGCCAAAAATGAGGCGAATAAAATATTTCTGCGAATTATTTTGCGACTTATGAAACAGTTTAGCTGGATGTTAAAGGCAGAATTTTCCGTTCTAGCTATCATCTGCATATATTGAAAAAAGATGTCTTGATAAAATTCTCAAGCTGTTAATTCCCGCGCTGAATTCAGTCAAGTCTCGGTCGAAGAGAGTGTCCTTGCAAACGTGTGGTCTTCGTCCGCACGACAGACGATGGCCACAGACTGGGAAGAAATGCGCATGAGCCTCCGGACTCCCAACACGCTACGCTTACAAGTGAGTTTCTATTTAGTTGAATAAAGAGAAATGCTGCGAAATTGCTATTCATCACTGACATCGTTCTAACTCCATGAAATCGTTCCTAAAAACAATCCTCAACTCATATTTGTGTATAAGAAAATTCTTTAATGACTGATGTTTTGGCATTATGGGCCGTTTTCTGTCGCGCTTCTCAAGGGATTACGGTCCTTAATTTGAAACTACTGTTCTTCCTGTTCGGTTGTTTAAACTTCCTAAGGAATTAATTTTCACTTATTAAATATCTGTTGTATCGAGTACTATTTTTCGCACGATCTCGGACTGAATATTATTTAATAAACTTCCTATGCATAAGCGTCGGCAAGCCATCATTTACAACAGTTGCTTGCATCAATGTACCCAATATTAGTCCACGTGATGTGTCTTTAACTCCAGTAAATACCAGTTTATCTCAATGTTTACTAGTGAACTGTAAATGTCCTTGACCCGTTATTCGTGCGCCGGCCTTCATCGGATAATAGACGGTGCGAAAGTCGATTCGATCGATGACTGATCTTTTCGTGCGTTTGATTACACAAATTAAGAGAAGCACCGAATTTTTCAATGTCGTAAGGGATTCAACTACTAATGATCAGGCCTTCACTTTGCAGAAAAACTTACTGTTGCAATAACCTCATCTTTACTTCGTAAGTCGAAATAGTAAAATTCTTCAATACTACACTTAATTCTCGGGCCCAATGATATACCTAGCATGAAGGCTCTTTCACCAACAAGTGCGTTGTAAGTTTTTTTTGAATTGCTGTTTGATTTGAAGAACACGTATTCAATCACAACTTGTAGGCAATCGCCGCCCACTTTAAGATTAGATGTCAAACTTTAGTATTATGACACGATAGACATGCAGAAGTGTGTATACCACGCCCGAAACTCGTATTAAAATGCCATCACCGTGGTAGGGGTAAAAAGTTTTCGTATCACCGCAGTGTTTCAACGGCTGCAAATTATGATGTTATTCTTGTTTATTAAAGGGAAAAGGGGAAAAGTTTTCTTCAATATCGACTTTTTATCTTAATTGTCCAAAATAAATTAACTGTTTAATCCTGACCACCGCCTATTAATCACATTAAATTTAATATCATTGTGCCCAACAATTTTTAATACACCCATGCGCAGAGACTCGCCGCCATCTCTGACTTGATGGACTCCCTACACGGCGCCCTGAGTGGCGTCCGCACATGCCCCGTGTGCAAAGGTGGGTGCTAATTTTCATCAATTAATAATTTCATAAAAAAATGTTTATTTTGTGGTAAATTCCATTGAAGATACGCCCACACTTTTGAAGGGTCATATGTTTGATACGCGGCAAGTTTGGTAACAAAGGTGTTCCCATTAATCTGTACCTTGTACATATGGATTTAGGTTGTTTAAATTTGGTAAGCATATACATAATAAAATCTAACCTGGAACCAGAACGTTGAATTTCAAATATATAATCCAAACTTGAGCCGGAACGTTGAAATTAAAATTTTATCTAAATACTTATCCATACTATTTTACATGATTCATAATACATGTGTGCATTATTACTCATTTATTACTTATTTATTATGAGTAACACTCTGTGCTGCGATCAGTGACCGCCCACCTGGGCGGGGGGTCGAGGCAGGTGTGCCCGTACTGCGGCTCCTTCTACAACGCCGCGGCGCACGACGGCGCCCTCGAGGCGTCCCCCAGCCTGCGGGCGGCGACGCTCCCTAATATTGTTAGTTACTGCAAGCTTTATAAGGTTTAGTTATAATAATGTATTTATGATAATCCCCACTTTTAGACAAGCTTCATAAGGTTCAGTTCTATGATGTAGTCATGATGCTCTCCACTGTTAGATAAGCTTTATGAGGTTCAGTTCCAATGATATATTCATGATGTTCTGCACTGTTAGACAAGCTTCATAAGGTTAAGTTCTTATGATATATTCATGATGCTCTCCACTGTTAGACATGCTTCATAAGGTTCAGTTCTAGTGATGTATTCATGATGCTCTCCACTGTTAGAGAAAACGGTAAAAAACAGTTTCACCGGCGTCCTAGCTAGTGGCCGGCCGCCCTGTGAAAATAAACCGTACCTCTGTTTTTTCAGATATTGTACGGGTTTCTAGTGTTAAATTTGAATAAAAACGGCCATACGGTGTTCATTTTCACGTGTCGGCCGGCTACTAGAGCGCCGGTGAGACCGTTTAACGGTGATTTTTTTAACAGTGTACGCGTTTATTATTTAGTTCTATAAAATTTTATGGCGCTGCATGCGTTTGTGACATTAGTCACAAACATTCTAAGCTTGCAAGTATTGTAAGTCATAGCCAGCTTCGCATAAGGGATAACAGGGATAGATAATCCGTGATATTTTAGAACCTGTTTCTTACTATACTGTATAATCCCGTTTCCTATAATTCTGTTGATCATTTTTAAATTAAAGTAATGATAATTAACGGAAGACTCGTTCCAGACGAAATAAGGATAAAAATCATTTAAGCGAAGCTCAATTAATTTTTATTTATATATTATAGCATTAATATTTCTATCGAGGGTATAGAATTCACCAAAATATGAGGATGTTAATTGCGCAAGTTTGCTGTGAGTAACTCACGCTAGACATATGTGAGCTCATGTAGAGGTTGATGCTCTATGTAAGCTGAAACATTTAACACATGTATTGTAGGAAGGAGATCGACCCATTGTAGGTGGCGTCGGTCACTACATAAATAGATTCGGAAACTTCATCTTCCACGACCACCCTGCCAACGGGCGCCGTGGGTCCATGGACAGCAACTTCTCGCCGCTGGTCACCCACGTGGACGCCAACGCGACGCTAGCGCACGCGCACCGACGACGCCAGCAAGTCAAGCAGTGAGAGCAACGTACTGGTACAAGAACGTACCGGGTTTCCTATACTCGAATCAATTCATGCAAGATACTTCATTATCAATTATTATAAAAGCTAAAAAGAGTTGCATATAATTTTTATAAATGTTGCAAATTAGTTTGATATTATAGATGTGACATAAATGCAATGATCACCTGATATTTTGCGTATTAAATAAAGCTTTTTGTAGAATTAGGAATATTGATGATAATCAATCGAGTCAATAATTAAATTATTGACAGTCAATCTATCTATATTAAATGAGAGTAACCAGATCAGATGCAAACAAACAATTTGCATCCAATTCTGTGCGGCTAAGACTTGAATCTTAATATGAACTAATGAACTTGTCATGCGAACATAATCATCGCTTTTCACCGCAGTTCCAAAGACAAGAAAGCAGCGAAGAACTCCGAGGAGCAGTCGAGCGCCGACGCTGCGGCCACCGCTACCAGCTCGGGCAGCAGCGTGCCTGACATCGCTTCCTTCCCGCCCATCAATCCCGGCACGGTAACTAGTATGTAGTAGTAGTACTAATATTAGTAAGCCCTAGTATGAAAATTAGGTAAAAGTCTGGTTTATAATTGTAGCGATGGAAACATGGCAGGTTATTAACTCAGGTATTAGAACGGAGCAACGCTTTGAGAATGTTTTATACAAGTCAGCTACATAAATGACTTGAGTTATCAATAAATAACTGGGAATTATTACAATTACAACGCCATCTATCTCAAATTTACTTGTGGAATAAGTATGATGTCACAAATTCAGGAAATGTAATGTTCAATTACAATGTTCCGGCTAATATTATCCGATCATTATGAGATTACTGTACTTATTTGGGAATAAATGTTACTAAAGCAAGAATCAATTAATAAATTACTGAAGCAATCACTAAAAGCAAGCAAAGAAATATCTCGATAAGATCCGTGACCAAAACTCATGTGGACCAGGCGAGCAGCGTGCGCTCGTCGCCGTTGTCGCGCGGCCCGTCTCGCCCCCCGAGCGTGCGCTCGAGAGCAGCACGCAGCGCTGAGCGCGCCGTGAGCAGCACGAGCAGCCTTAGGGGCAAGGAGGTGCTCAGGCCCAACTACCCTGCGCTCACCATCAACCGCGGCACTTTCCTGTGAGCATTTTGCTGCTCTTCATCACTTCATTTATGTGTAATCTAAGATTATGATATGTGGTGTCACTCCACAACTCTATTTGCTGCATTTTTTCACTATATTTCTGTGTAATCTATGATTACGATAATTAGTATCACTCCACAACTCCATTTGCTGCATTTCTTCACTATATTTACAGTATGTGCAGTCTGTGATTATGATATTTGTTGTCACTCCACAACTCTATTTTCTATGTTATCTGTGATTGTGATTTTTGTTTACACTTCTACACCCTATTTACTAGATAAAACGTGATCGTGATTTTTGCCGACCAAATTAGTGTATTTTAGGCTGCGAGTTACAAATTCATTTCCTTTGGTGTCATCAAACTTTTGTTATCTTATGTTCCATCAGCTGCTGCGCTCTAGCAAGATAATGCTTCGCTTTTTCATGCGTGTATTAATTTTTCTGCATGATAAATAAAATGATGCTTGAGATCCGATTTTTCATTTGTGTGTTTTTGACTGAGTTGCATTGTTTTTGTCTTTGGTAATAATATATATTAATAAAAATATTCGCATTTCCTACTCTTTCGTGTGTAAGTGGTATGTGATTAAATTTTTTACTTCATTTTTAATAGAAAACTTTTATACATACATCATTAACTGTTACATTTCACATAATATTGGAATAGTCGACTTGAGTTAATGCAAATGAAAATTTAGTTGATAATAGTTAATGAATGCCTAAAATATTTAAATGCTGATTTGTTGAATATCTTTTATATATGCAGTGAAGACGTGAAGAAGGCGCATGAGACTAAGCAGTACGGTGACATGAAGAAGTTTTATTTCGAAACATTCGAGTCGTACGCCAATATCTGCGCCACGTTTAAGGTGAATATTCGACGTTTTCGAATGTAAATAGAATAGAAGTGTGGGCTCTGAAGAAATAGGCCCATGGCCTGTTGCCTATACTTGTACTTTTCGTGACTTGATTCACAAGGAATCCGGCCGTTGGATCCCGATCTTTCCATAACTGGTGACACTGATATAAAGGACGAACCTAAAGTCCATTATAATGTATATCATAGAAAATACATCATATTTAATAATATCTTTTATATTCGCATTGACGTATGATTTTTGCATTGTGATTGCAGCGCAGTCCTGACATGGACGGTGCCCAGGCAGACGATCACGGTCTCAAGACCGAGCTTCTGTACAGCGTGCACGACTCCATACGTGAAATGGTGCGTGATGGACTTCTTGTTTTTATTATCACTATCATTATTACTATTATTATTATACTATTATACTATATGTTATTCTATTATATTATTATTATTATCGTTATATTACCATCATTATTGACCTTAGGAATCTGATGTAAAAACTATTAAAGAAGAAGAGGAGTATAATGTACATCATTATAGCTTTACAAATACTTAGCTTAAGAAAAACCGAAAGAAACCTAATTTAAGTTCACTTTCCATTTCAGCCGTCAGTCGTACACAAGAACTTTTTGAAGGGGGTAATCAACTCGATGCTGCAGGAGAAGCCCAACTTGTTCTCGAAGGACAAGGTGCGAGCGTTGTTTGTTATCCTGCAGAGCCCCGTGTTCCTGACGCAGTCGTCGTACACGGTGCTGGCTCACGTCCTACGCAGCATCATCGAGCTCGATAATGGCGACCACCAGCTCCTTGTGTGCTGGTTTAGAACGTGAGAATAATAAATCATTTAATTATGTCATTACTAGTCTCATAAAATAACTAGTTTACCAAGAATTTAAATGTAAAAGATTTCTCTTTTTTGGAAAATTTGGCTCTGCCTATTGATTGTAGAATTGTACATGTGTTCTCAAAATTCTTGAACTGAAGATAAAACTATTCTCCGAAGAGTTTTTGGTGAAAATTTACATATTGATGAAGGCCACCAATTTTACTTTGTGCTTATTGATTTCTGTAAAGTGGCTAATATTATTACTACATCAAACATTATTTTCAAACAATAATCACGCTTCATCTTTAATTTCCAACTTTATTTATTTGTTCAGGCTGGAGGTGGCCCGGTTCCGTTTCATCGTAAGTTTCATCACGCAGTTCCTAACAGTGCGGCAGTTCCCCCCCCTGGACCGCTCCCTGCCCCCCCTCAACAAGAGCAGATGGTGGATACCTACGGCCACCAGAGTGCTCGCCATACTCTGTAAGTTATCTAGTAATATTATCATATTATTATATTATAATGTGAAAAATTATTTAGAATGTATTGGTATTTTTATTACATTATATGTATATAAAATGATAATATTGTTATTAATATATTATCATAATTATTAGGCATCAAGTCATTATCTGCTAATAATTCATGTCTAAGCTTAATCTATGGCATGGATATATTTAAAGCATTTAGTAAATATTTCAAAATTAGTCATTAGTTATGTTTGTCTCTGGAAAAAATTCACTTGATGTTTGATTGGTATGAACAAACTTGACGCTGTTTATATCGTTGATGAATGCAATTATTTATTTGCAACCTTTGCTCATCGCCGTAAAGAAAAATTCATTTTTAGTCCCTTAAATGTAATGACAATTATTTTGTTTAATTTGTTATTGCGAAGTGATTTCATGATTTTCGCAATAGTATAATTATGATCGAATTTGAATAATTTTGAATAAATTTTCTTAAAATACAAAAATGTCCCTCGTATAGACGCGAGCAACAGCTCCATACAGCCGCCCCTGATCTCATACACGGAGTTCTACAACGACGCCTTGGACCACTTGGACCTAATACAGGAGTACCGGTCCTGGCAGATGCCTGAGAAGTACGACACGTTCTCCTACTGCCAGTACCCCTTCATGCTCTCCATTGTCGCCAAGAGACACATTCTCACCAAGGTATCGGCAACAGGCCACATCAGGCCTACGCTTTTGCGCCGAGATCACTATGATCACTATGTTAAGGTTAATTCTTGACGTCAGAACCACATTCATCTCTTGTAACAGATTTTGCTTATTTAAAATACTATCGCAAGAAGCATATATACATATTCTGGTTGATATTTCAAATAGACATATTCTCACCAAGGTTAATTCGTGACGTCAGAACCACATTTAGCTCTTGTAACAGATTTTGCTTATTTCCAAAACGATCGCAAGAATTTACGATCGTATCGTATCTCAAAATCGTATCGTAATCGCAAAATCGTATTTTGCGATTATTTTAGCTGAGATTGTTTCAAGTAATTCACATGCAATCTGATATTATGAATCCTAAATGAAATATGGTACCTATGTGCTCATCCCCAAGTAGCTTTCCAGAACATACTTTAATTGTCCATTTTATTGTTGAACCATCATTGAAATACTGTCTGTAAATGGTCTCCCCATACTTTTTTATTTATCAACAAGCTTGATGATGCCCAGTGGTTACAGTTCAGAGTACCAAGATTGGCGCAGAGAGGCGCGGGTTCGATCCCAGCTCTGTGCGCCAGTTTCTGGTCAGAATCGGCGAGGAGGCCGGGCGGTTAAGCACAGCAGAATTGTAGCAGCGAGTTGCGAGTTCGAGACTGCAAAATGCTGTGAATGTTCTGCGATGTTAAGAATCTGCGACAGGCCTACGGCCTAATAAACGCTGAAACCGCTATTATTACCGTTATTATTACCGCTAGGACGCAGAGCAACAGATGATATTGACGGCGCGGCGCTCGCTGGTGGCTAAAGTGTCGCGGCACCAGGCGCCTCAGATCGACATCTTCTTCCTGAACATCAACGTGCGTCGCTCGCACCTCGTCGAGGACTCGCTCAATGAGGTGAAACTAACGTGATATCCAAAGGAACGATCATGATTTGTGTGCTATTATAATTTAAAATCTTTCATTTATATTGAAACGTTCGAAATTGCCTGAAGTTTATTTACTAAATACTATCGACAGTATAAGTGGATAAATAGCTACCCTTGTTTATATTCTAGAATTGACTCGTTTAGTGTTTGTTAATTTTGTGCATAGTAGCGACATTCATTGCGTTTTGATTCAATTTTACACTTTTATTAATTGTTATTATAATATTGGCAATAAAAACTCAGTTACTTCTAAGTTGAGATCACTATTAAATAAAAAATCACATCAATTCACACTGTTTACAATTTCGTGTATGAATTTCCTGCAAAATAAAGGGAATTCAACGACCAAATTTTTGATCAGATCACGGCCAAAAAAGCTGACTTGAAGAAGAAGTTGAAGGTGACGTTCGAGGGGGAGCCTGGCCTCGACATGGGCGGCCTCACGAAAGAATGGTTCATTCTGCTCATCAAACAAATATTCAAGGTCAGGGCAACGTTTATTAACAGAAGTTACTAAATTAAGTTTCCTAGTTAGTAATTACCAAACATAAATTAAAATATTTATTCTTTCATTATTTATTGTGTTTATTAGAGTGTATTAAAGAAATTCGATATTCCGTATTCGATGCAAAAAAGTTTCAATTCCCTAGTAACTAACTCCATTCTTCGAACGTGGTTCATTGGAGTGTTAGCTTCATGTACTATGAAATCCCGGCTTTTTTATTCTATTTCAACAACATTTGTTTTTTAACATTTTAATGGAATATCCGTAGTTGCGTATTGAAAATATTAGACTACTATCGCATCAATGGGCATGCTGCGCGGCAATTTAAAACCATGTTCAGCTCTGATGTTCTTCCTCTTCATATACATCTAGGTTCAGCTTATCTCTTCTTGTACCTACCTATCGCACTCAGCATCTCTTATCTCTTAGTAGATTCGTTCGTTTCATCTCATTGACGTAGACTTGAGCAGAGTTCTTCTTTTCAGTTCGGTTATTTACGCACTTTGTTTTGTTTGGATTTTAATCATATTGGTGTAGCAAGCATTATGAGCTTTTCCCATCTCTCTGTTTATTCACGTAACAGGTTCAAGTTCACCTTATGATATATATAACGTATCCCGCTATTTTTTCCATCTGGTTTATAGAACGATTGAGTTTAGCTGCCTTCTTTACTGTGTTAATATATTTAAGGCGTGCATCTCTCTTTTTATTAGTGTTGATATGCTACTTATTATGTGACGCTTTTAATTTTGTTCCAAATATCAGTCGTGTATATAATTAACGGCATATTAATAATGTACTTTTAACTGCCTAACGTATCTGATGATATGTTTCTAATTTTGCTTCACCTAATAGCAGAATAATATTTACTTAAAATCATTTCTAATGACATTCTTTTAACTATCTAATAAAAGTAATGATATGATTCTAATTTCGTTTCGGCAAATATCAGTATTCATTTCTAATTAAAAACATTTCATATGACATTCTTTTAACCATCTAATAAAACTAATGATATTCTAATTTGGTTGCGCCTAATATCACAATTAGGATCTAATTAAAAGCATTTCTAATGATATTCTTTTGACTATCTAATAATTATTCATGAATCATCACCATGGGCCTATTTCTTCAATGCCGACACTTCTATTCTAAAACTTATGATATGATTCTAATTTGGTTGTGCCTAATATCAGAATTCATTTAAAAGCATCTCATATTATATTCTTCTAATTATGTTGACTGGCACTAACCGCAGCCCGAGAACAAGATGTTCGTGTACCACCCGTCCAAGAGACTGTACTGGTTCTCGCTAGGCCAGCTCGGCAACCAGCGACACTACAACCTCATCGGTGTTCTCATGGGCATCGCCGTCTATAATTCCATTATTCTCGACATCCATTTCCCTTCCATCTGTTATAAGTGAGTTTTTTTTCTGTGAAGCATAGTTTGAAGTCACATATATTTTACTCGTCCGTGGTAAAGTATTGAGTTTATGTCTCGAATAGCTGCATCAGTTTTTCCCTTGTATTCTTTTATATATTATTTTAGAGAATTTGAATTGCTTTTTTCTTCCTCGTGGCAATTTCTGTCTATGGAAGTTATTGGAATGTAGATATTTTCCTAGTATTAAGAGATTGTTTTCAAGCAATTATTCGTGAATCATTATATATTAAAACAATTTATTTACTCATCTCACTACAGGAAGCTGCTGAGTCCTCCCGTGGTGCCAACAATGCAGGCCTTGCCGGTGGGAATCGCCAGCAACCCAACGCTGGAAGATTTCAGAGAAATTATGCCGGTAATATTAAATGCTAAATATTGTTCCGGTGTGTGAATATGACGGCCGATTGGTCTAGACAACTAAGATTGGAGCAGCGAGTTAAGGGTTCGAAACCCTCATCTGATGGTGAAAATTTCGGTAGAAATTGGGATGGTGATCGGGTTTTTGAGAATCGGCGACAGACCAATACGGCTTACTCAAAGCTGATACCACTATATTATTATATCATTATTATAATAATATAATCGACTGAGCAATTCGAATTTATTAAGTAAGTTTGATGTCTAAAAACATGTGCAGGAGGTGAGCCACGGCCTCAGCGAGCTGCTCAAGTATGAAGGAGACGTCGAGGAGGACATGTGCCTCACCTTCCAGGTCACTACCTCCACTCTTATTATTCTAATTCAATTATTAACACTCAGAACGATCTACTTCTTTCCGATGCTTGATTTCTATTTACCTTATTTTGATAAATCGTATTTAGATTTTTGACTACACCCTGTGCATAAAAGAGATATGGCAAAATTTTTTCACTACCCGGTAGCGTCTTGAACGAAACGTTATTTTAGGTGAGCTTAGAAGAATACGGCGAGCCTCGGACGTTTAACCTCAAGGAAAGTGGCGACAAGATTCCAGTCACGAATGAGAACAGACATGAGTTCGTGAGCCTTTACCTGGACTGGATCTTGAACACGGCCGTGTACGAACAGTTCCAGGCCTTCTACCTCGGGTTCCATACTGTCTGCGCCTCCAATGCGCTCATCGTGAGATTCTTTAATTTTTCTTCAACTTTCTTATTCTCTGGCATTGATCCACGAAATTCGAATTTATGAATAACAACTTTGAACTAAATTTAAAATTGAAAATGGCTCCGAATTTATAAAGTTATCCTACACTGGGAAATTTTTTCAATAAATTTTCCTCTGCAATATTTTTTTATAAATTGATCGTTCTATTCACAGCCTAATCTTGAATCATTTTCTAATTGTAGGTAATATGAGTTTTCCAGTAGAAATTTAAGTTTGAAGATTAAAATCCTATTTAAGCGTTTAAGTATTCCTGAAAAATGGTATAGTGATTTATTATCTTTTAGATGCTGCGGCCTGAGGAGGTGGAGATGTTGGTGTGCGGGAGTCCCACTATCGACCTGGAGGAGCTCAGGAAAGTCACGGAATACGATGGCTATTCGCGCGACAGTCAGACCATCAAGTGAGAAAATAGTGCTGATATTTAAGATGACATATACCGAGTTCTTTCCTTCACTAAAAAATAAAATTAATTAAAATATTTTACTAGTATTCACAGAGTTTGTAATTGTTTTGACATTCAAATCATCAATGAGAAAGCATTGCAGATATTTAAGATGATATATGCCGAGTTCTTTACTAATAAAATACTTAAAAATACTTTTTTAAAAAACACGTTTTTCTTGTGGACTAAAAAGTAGAAAATAAAATACTTAAAAAAACTTTTTTAAAAAACCACGTTTTTCTTGTGGACTAAAAAGTAGAAAATAAATTTTGGCTCGCCCCAAAAAACGTGTGTCGGGCAGATTTATGATTAAAGCGAAAAGCACACAACACACGAATTTTGGAAATTTGATGGTGAACATACAGCCCGACCCACGTTTTTGGGGCGAGCCATAATTTATTTTCTACTTTTTAGTCCACAAGAAAAACGTGTTTTTTAAAAAAGTATTTTTAAGTATTTTATTTTCTCCTTTTTAGTCCGTTGCTGCACGGACTAAAAAGCATGACTTGACGTACGTATCGATGATACGCAGCGTCAGCGCCTGCTCGTCTATAACGTCAGCGCCCGCACGTCATACTATATATAAACTATATATATATACTTTACTCGATTAAGCTAATTTAGGTCTCTAATTGCAAGTTTTTATGATTGTATCTGAAATTGTTAGGCGAAAATAGCCTGCATGCCGAATTTCAGATCTTTAGAGCAATCAGAAGTGGGCTAATTTTCGTTGTCAATTTTAACAACAAACAAACAAACGCGAAGCTAAGCTAAGAAAAATGTTTTAAAAAGTCTAATTGATTACTGTTCACAGAGTTTGTAATTGTTTTGACAGTCAAACCATCAAGTTAGAAAACATTGCTGATATTTAAGATGACATATGCATCGGTCTTTCAGTAACTCACTGATGAAATTTATTCGAAAATGATGATTTGTTATCACATGGTTTGTAATTTTGTAGACACCATTAAAGAGTTTTATTTGTGCTGTCTTGAAAGTCCAAATATAGTGTACAATGAAATACATTGTACTTTTGGTGCTTATGTTGGTTGTTGTGGCAGATGGTTCTGGGAGATCCTAGGCGACATGTCAGTGGCGCAGCAGAAGCAGCTACTGCTGTTCACCACTGGCAGCGACCGCATCCCTGTGGGGGGCATGGGTGAGATGGCCTTCAAGATATCCTGCTGGAAGGGCTACACTCACATGTTGCCCCAGGCACACACATGCTTCAACCAGCTCGTGCTGCCACCATATCCATCTAAAAAGATGCTTTACGACAAACTCATGATTGCTATATCCAACTCCGAAGGTTTTGGGTTAGAGTAATTCCCCTTAGGGTTTAAAAGATGCTTTACGACAAACTCAAGTCATCCCCTTAGGGTTTAAAAGATGCTTTACGACAAACTCATGATTGCTATATCCAACTCCGAAGGTTTTGGGTTAGAGTAATTCCCCTTAGGACTTGGCACTTGCGTTTTACCTGTTGACGATTACGACTGGTGGCGGGTGGCCAATTAACTGCCTAAGAAATTCCGTCCATACTTTTCAAAATGGTATTATAATTTACAGGTCCTGTCATATACGGTATTATCTGGTGTGATAATATCCTGGTTTACATTCAAATATCATGTTGAATTTGAGTAGGATTAGAAAATTTCTACTTTTTCTGGTTTGTGTGATAGCCTTTAGAAGTAGATTAGTAATATTGAATTTTCCACCAGATTGAATCAACTAAATTTCCATAGTACGTATTGCAGATATATTAAAGTCAGTGTGTTCCCGAAATAAACTATTTCTCACGTACCATAACTGCTGCACCTGTTCTATAATTTACTATAAAAGTATTAAAGCAATTTGATGTTACAGTGATTTCGATTATATTTGTTTGTTACCAATGTATTCAAATTTTTTGCCCTATGAGTATATAAATGGAGCTATATTCATTGTGTCTTTTACATAAACGCGAACGCGAGTTCTGGCAACAATTTCAATCAGCCTATTTCAAATGTTCTAATTTTTGGCTATTTGCGTCGTCTGGTTGTGCAAAGTTAACTTATTATTAGTTTTCAGTAATGTATGTGATACTTCCTACTGAACAAAATTAATTCCCGCACAAACGAAGTGCATCAAAACTTGATTCATTGAAAATTACTTTTCCGAAAATTCTTCATGAGTCGACTCAACATGCTTACCCAATTAGGTAACATTGCACATTTTGAGTGTATGAACGTTTCACGTTCTTTTCTCACAAATATGAGTCAAGATGTACTATTCGTCATTAATATGCAACAGATTCGTCGGCTGATATTTAAGAAAATATAAATTACGCACATGGTTTGTTAATTCTTGTTGGTATCCAGCAGGTTATGTTGCCGAAGCTATTAAAATTCATTTGGTTAGCCGTACAACAAATTGTTTCCAAACAAAGTTATAGTCCATTAAGGAAAGTCAGACGACGATTGTTTATAACCAATATAATTCCGCGAGTAATTGATACTTATGCTAATGATATCGTTGATTATGTTTCAGATTAATATTAATTTCTGACGATTTCCTTTGGACCGCTAAGAATAACTGCTGTATGGGGAAGTTTCGTAGAGAATTTGTTTTGGTTAGAAGTATGTTGAAATTTCATTTCAGTAGTCAGAAACAACTAGTAGTTATCAAGATTGGGATTTAAACGATTTAATGTATTTTGGAAGAGCTAATTTGAATAAAAGAGGCTTTCTTATTTTTCATGATTATTCCGTCCTAGATACAAATTAATTCATAAGTGCTACGTTATTTGTGAGCTCGGCATTGCTTCTCAAAAATTGTGGTGTTTCGCTAGCAAATATTTTAGTACGCTCGTATATTTTTTGTCAAATTGTAATCAATATTATTCTTCTGCATCTAAGACAACAAACACCGCTCGCAATTAGAAGTGATACTTTAACTCATGTTATCCTAATTCCACCAGCATTTTCTGAACGCTATTGCACCGCTTTATATGTCAACGTAGAGGATCTGGCAGAGGTAGCTGTGCAGCTTGGAGCACTGCTCGTCGTTCCACACTCCGTTGTGCAGGATGACGCAGCTCTGCGGCTCTTTGGTGTCAGCGCGGTAGTTGTTGGGCTGGTCTTGCCCCCACTCCGTTCGCGGGCCAATGTCACTGCCTTCAAGAATTCAGATGTACGCATTAATTATTTCTTCTCTATAATTTCATATTAAATGTAAGTATCGTATTTTTATATCAAATACAAGTAACGGATTTCAATGCTCACGAAAAATTTAGTTGAAAATATTACCCATTCAACTCAAATAATTATACAGTAAAGATAAGAATAAAATTGTGGGGTTACGTAATCACCGCCTTCAGGAATTCTGATCGACACGTAACTCAGTTTCACCCAATAATGTTAAAGGAGAGGTACGAATAAAATCGTGAGTTAGTATAATATAGCTCCTTGTTTAAAGGGATAAAAACGCTAGAACTATGCTTGGGTGGGAGAAATGTTGCAATTCAGTCACTACAAGAAATGTTCGAATTATGAAGGAACAGTTTTAGCTTACATAAATTATAGCACAAGAACATTAATGAAAAGTCCGTCAGCTTTGCGAACAAATTCATTGCAATTTAACCTCAGATCAGAAAACAAAGCCACTCGATTGTCTGAGCGAGGTCTTGCCACAAAGTTTATGAAGTTAAGCTCTTAACACTATTTACTATACGATATGTGAAGGATAACTGAAAATGGTTTTTTACAGCCAACACCCACCATCTAGCCAGCGGAAAATCCTGTTGCCGGCAACGTCCGCCATGCCGATCCAGTAGGTGATGGACCTTGTGATGTTCGAGTTCACCTCCAGGTGCTGCTGAGGTGTCTGCAAAAGTTGCCAAGTTTCTTTAATTTTGTTCAAAGTCTAAGTTCCTTACTATTGCACTTGTTTGAATGAAAACTCTCTGTTTAACGTCGATTAATTTTAATAGACGGGCAATTATTTAATCCTGTCTATGTAGAAAATGGCGGTTGCAAATTTACCGCAAATGTAACGCGGCATCGAAAAACGCCAAAAAAGAATGAGAAGCGGATGTGTTTTTTTTTCTGCGTGACATCCGAAATTAAACGCATGGAACACAAGTAAGTCAGATAAGTCGTTCTTTAGTTGGTTAATAAAAGCTGTTCTCACCCTAGTGAACAGCAGACGCCCTCCATCCGCCCTGCACGCTTCGTCCGCGCCGGTGAAGTTCATTTTGGTCCGATAGACAGCGTAGGCAAAGGTGCAGAGTTTCGTGTACCCATCGGGAACTTAAGAAATAAAAGGTTTTATGCAATGATACAAAGGAAAATGCGCTCCATCACTCCAATAAACCAGAAAATCTTTGGTACAAAGTGTTTGCCTTAGCCCAGGAACATTTAAAAAGAAAAAATAGTTCAAAATTTATACCCGATTATATATTTATCAGTTGTTATTCATGGAGTTGAGTATTCTTTCACGCTTCTGGAATCGGGCTTGCCAAGCTCCCGCGTATCCACGTTAGCCGCGTTGCTACGCCGCCATCTTTGTATCACACTGGCGCCTCACCTTACTCTCTCGTTCCTACACATTTGGACGTTTCGGTAGCAATGGAGAAAGAACGAACAAGGCAGAAAGGATTAGGCTGTTGTCAAAAACTCCTTCCTTCAGTGAGAGACCGATATTCAAGAAAATTGTTCGACATTAACTATGTTGATGCCAACGAAGTGCCGGCAAAGCCGTGATGTGCAGATTTTGCAAGCCTGCCTACCGTTTAACACGGTGATTTACTAAACTATTTGGTGTTTTGTGGTCAGCTAATGCACCTTGCAAGAATTCAAGGCATACAAGACGCTTGAAGCTTACAAACAATTGTGGATGGATGGGCACAGGCGATGGAGAAACGAAACTTCAACGAATCAAGAAAGACTATGTATACGGTTATACCTAGTAGTTTGGTAGTACAACTGGACGAAGATAATGATGCTGATGAATGGAACTTTCTAAGAATGGAAAATGAAATTCCTTTTCACCTTTTTGAAGAGGAAAAGGATAGAATTTTATCAATGCTTACGTAACCAGGGTTCGGACGGCTCATAGTAATACCGATCCCGATATTGGACGCGCTCATGCGACACCTCAGACCACAGAACTGACCAACAACACACCAATTCACCAGAAACCTCGACTTTTTGCAAAACCAATTTATATTGAAATTGGAAGGCAATGTAAAGAACTCGAAACATTTGATGTTATAGAACAAAGCGAATCATTTTGATCTTCCAACAAACCAGAATGTTCCCTTACCCCCTACATTTTAATTTCAATATCAATAAACTCAACCCTCTTACATCCCACGATGTCTTATACAATGTGCTCAAGCAGCGTCTTCCATTAAGGTGCGACTTGGCGTCAGGGACCCAACCTCAAACTGCGTGTAACAGGGTCAAATTTTCATTATTAACACAACCTTGAGTCGAATAACCTAACCTTAGTTTCCCCCAAATAGTTTGTCGAGGTAGGCAAAACCATGAGGCGTTGCCGAGTTATGACCGAAAAAGTAACATTTTACCCCCCATTCCGCGATTTCCTGGGTTGTGAGTATAAAGTTGGAAGATACAAGTATCAATACGCGTACTGAGAGCGCGGGGTAAAACCGGGGGGACCCCGAATTTTACGACAACTGCAACCAGCCAACTGCAACAACACTATCACCGTTGCAGGATAATGGATCATGACAATGTTATCTGATCCGTAAATATTATTACGTTTTATTCTTACTTATGTAGCTTATCTAAAGGCAAGTAACAGATTTTGCCCCCTGGAAAATGTATAGTATCGTATATAATAAATATTCACGGCTGGTAAACTGATATGCGGTACGTATATCAGTACGAATCATAAACTGATACGATATACACGGCTAGTAAACTGTATAAACGCATTCCATTGTATAGTTTTCTGTTTAAATGGCCGTGAGAACGACTGGTACATCCTACAACGGTGCAGTAGCGTCCCATCTTCAAGCAAAAACTTCAAAAAGAGATGATCGCAGTAGGTTTAACACGTAGGCGAAAGCTAGACCCTGCTACAAATATGGCGGCCGATCCCACAATGCATCTGGCGATTCGGTGCCGTGACGTTATCCTTTCGAGCCCGATTGACACGACGTAATTTACGGAGGAAACATGATGCCACTTCAGAGTTCATGTTTCAGAGTTCAAACCAACCACATCATTGTCCTACATATTAATTGCAACAGAAGTTTATGTTGTTATATGCATAAATTACCTTTCCAGAAGACCCCATACTGAGGAGTCATTGAGTTTCGAACCCTGAGGTAGAGCCTCGCTGGTCCCTTCTCCACAGTCCCGTCTGGCACGCATACCAACAGCCGGCACTGGCCGGTTGTTGAGCGAGCCAAAGCCGTCTGTGATACATATTAGTTCAATGTTCATTCGTGATTATTTAAAAGAATTCGTGTGTTTGAATGCGTTTCACTTTGCAACGTTTGGTGTGATTCCTTACAGCATTTTACCGCAATGAGCTTGACATAGCAGTGGAAAAGGCTTTACTTATATTTACGTACAATAAAATTTCATGTAATATTGCATATTTTTAATTGTTACGTAATCGCGCACCTCAGGCAGGGGTACAGTTGGCAACCAGCTGAACCCTATGCAGACAATCTTCTTACTGTCACCACATATGCGGCCACACTCGGGCAGTGTGGTATTTTCAGCAGCCACCGTCCCATATTTGTTCGCCACACTCGCCACCAGGCTGTAGGATATGGCGCCTGCGAAGATGGGTTGGTCTTGGCTGGTCTGTGCCCTGACGCCCTCGTAGATAAGAAGAGCCACAAGCAGGGACAAACCAATTCCCAATGAATGTTTAACTAACATTTTTGCTGAAAGAAAAACGGCAGAAATTAACGATTTTCCTGGTGGTTAATATTCAGAATCTCAGGCCCAAGTAATATAATCAAACGCAATTAAAAATCGCTCAAAAAGTTACCACGTGACGATTCATAAATATTTATGCTCGTTGTTATAGTTTCTGGGACCGTTCGGGTGCACATGCTCGAGGTATAACAAGTTTTCTGTGAGTGAAGACGAAGTTTTTGGGGAGCCTCGCGTGTAGCTATCGAGTCTTCCTCTGACGTCAGCGCAAACAACCATCAGCCAGAATTACAACACTTATTCGATGACCTTTGCGATAGCTTGTGTTTGATCAGAGCAATGCGCCCGGAAAGAAAAATTCGTAAACTTTATACGTTTGTTTCTCTTGCAACTTAACGTAGTATGAAGAAAGGATTGTTGTTTACTGGCCGAATAACCGCGCAATCGCTGAACAGTCCTATGTTGACCCCTTGATAGCTTGATATTGATTGTTGCCAATTATTGTGCCCTAATCTTAAGCTAGCTTGCTAAATACCGCAGTGGAACAGACCCAGATTAAACTGAAATTAAACTCATAATGTGCTTCCTAGGCGACTAAAAAACGAATATTATTTTGGTAGTGGCCATGATTCCGCCTTGAAAGTTTAAATTTAACATTACCTTCAGGCGGGAGGAATTTTACTTTGACCCTAATGAAGCAAATCAATCTTCAATTGATGATCGCTATTCTTTCGCTATTGATCAAATTGTCTTCGATGAATAACTATACTCTTTTTAATTTTATTTCATTTTGTTTCGTATTTTATTAAATTTTATTGGCTGGTAGCAGAATCAGATGACCCGGGAAAATATGAGCTATCTTTATTAATCAAAGCGCTTATTTTGTGTCGCAACTTTCCCACTACAACTAAACCAAAAAATTCCGCATATATTTCTGAACATTTACAAAATAATTTGAAATTGACGGAATTTGTGGTTGATAGAAACGAATTTCGTAGAAAATCGATGATTATTCGGGCCGAGCAATTCTAGTACACCTCCTGATCGGAAACCTACTGAGGTCAGGATGACATACCGCATTGGTATGTCATCAAGATAATCATGGCATCTGTAAGATCAGAAAACGTTTATTTTCATCGACATAAAAAAGAGAAAAGCATTATCTAATATTTCTATTCATTATTGTTATACCATAAGCTATCTTTGAGTCTCGGGCTGCACAGATCGCCCCAGAACAACACACGGGTTCGCTTGATGCTCTGAGTTAATCTACTAAATTAAAATAGCAAATTTGTCTTTTTGTGAATAAATATATTCAAATGAGTTCATATCTTTATTTATAATGAAGCTCATCTCCTTCAAATGACATATTTCTGAATGTGAATCCTTAAAAACTTGGTCAAATAGCACTGAATGAGGCAAAATACATCTGTTTAATTGCATCGTTGAACTAATTCAAGGTTGACTCATGCACATCTCACAGCTTTATGCGGATGTTGTGTATTGTTCAGCCTGTGACATCACAGGTCACAAGCGTATGCATTACTCGTGAATGTCATTCAAAAATTATCTTCTTTGAACTCACCTCATAAATAACTGACCTCCTCGAATACTCTGAAAAAGTTTTCACAATGTCAACTATAGTCTTGCTTAACACATTGCCGGTGTCAAAATACGCAAAAATACAATTATTTCCTGCGGTTAATAAAATAAACGGATAAGAAAACGACCAAAAGAATTTACTGTCGTTTAATGGTTGTTAATGGCGGCCATTTGGCCGAATGTCATAAAAGTGAAGTGCCCATAGATTATACGTTTTCGTCAAGCTAGTATTAGTGCATCTCTTAATGTCATAGTTTACATTTCTTTTTAAAATCTATATGAAATGGCCACACAGTGAAAGAGTAAAGCAATATCGATTTGAAATTAAGAGGATATGCATCCAAAAGGTATAAACCATGAATAATATTCATATATATAGATGCAAAAATCCACTCGCCCGACGAAAACGGAATTTCTTGAGGACGCTTTCGTTTATTCAGATATTTAGACGGATGATCAGAGAAGTGGCGGCCATTTGCGAAGCACAAAGTTGATCAATCAGCCTCGGGAGATTTATTTTCCGTTTTTTTTTTTAACTTCCGTACGAACGAATTAGATTATTTTGCTGGTATGGTTAAGAACAAGACTTGTTGCATTATATGGACTAATTTTTACAAAATTTTAAATGGTACACTTTGTTTTAATTAATTCAAAAACAGACTCTTAAGTCTTAAACATGTGTTTGATGACACTAACGACATTCGTTTATGTTTTCCGATATGCGCAGAACAATGAAAAAAGAAGATGTTTCGAAGATGCGCAGAATAATGTCAAAATTTCTCGAAGCGTGAGTCAACCTTGCATAGTTCAAACATGGTTTAAATGATTGTACGTTCCTTCAGATCGTTCTCATATCCTCACGAGAGATTCAGGAGATTCATGCGTACATCAATGGTTTTAACTGCTGCATAAATGCAAACATAATATATCATAATGATGTAAGCCGATAACGACGGCCATCTACTAAAGAGCGATATATATCTGTGAAACAAGATGATGAATACAAGGTTGAGCAATTTTTCGGGAGGCAAGCTTTTTCTCACTAAACTGTGTATAGTTCTTCTTGCCTGGCATGAATGTGACCTGATCTTCCTGTTAGCAAGACTAATTATCACTGAATATTTGCTGAAATTTGATTTTAAATGTTGAATGCGGCCATTCCCGTTCATTCTAATTCTCTAAGGGAAAGGAATCTTTTGTAATTTATAGCACAGATGAATAATCCATAAAATAATGATTTCCGATAAATTGAAAATGTCTTGACTCTCATTTTCAGTTCATAGCTTGACAAGAAAATCGAACGGTACCGTACGTATCAGTCAAAATTATTACTTTGCCATTTGAATTCATTTCCACCATGTGCAGAGAAATACGAAATAGTGAAGCAGTGAGCAATTTAACTTGATAAATGGAAAAAAATTGTGAGTTATAGGTCACTCGCTCAGATCAGTCTCGAGATTATTTAATTTTCAAAATACATTTATTGTGGTTTTCATTTAGCCAATAATTTATTGTCTTCATAAAATAACGATTTCCGATTATCCTAGCATTGTACAAGTTTATTAATGGCAGGAACGATCTAATTTCATCATCTATTAGGATTTCCAGTAGCAACTAACATCTATCATAAAAGTCTATAATTTTATCAACAACAAAAAAGTTTGTATAAATAAAATTTATCGCATGAAAGCGTCTTCAGGCCGTAGACCCCCAGGCTGGATCCAGATGGTGCCTCGGGAGCTCATGCTGCAGTAGGCGTGGTAGTAGCGACCGGGACTGCGGCACCAGTACCACCTGGGACACCGACACCGGAACCGGGATTGGAACTCCGTCTTGCACACCTCACTGGTGTAGCAAGTTCGCTGCCAACACAACAACAATAAGCCATTTTACTAGGATTTCTATTGCAAGTTCGCTGCGAACACAACAACAATGTCATTCTACTAGGATTTCTATTGTAAGTTCGCTGCGAACACAACAACAATGTCATTTTACTAGGGTTTTTATTGCAAGTTCGCTGCGAACACAACAACAATGTCATTTTACTAGGATTTTTATTGCAAGTTCGCTGCGAACACAACAACAATGAGCTGTTTTACTAGGATTTTTATTGCGATTCGGGAATTTCTTAACGCTAATTGTGATACTTTGACGTATGGGCATGATAATATGACAAACGGATACCAATTAATAATTTATCTATCTTACTGGTGCCGCATATCTGTAGTAAATTATAAATAGACGAAAATTCCATTTTGTGCAAATAGAATAGGATATAATAATTAGATGGCATGTGACTATTAGAATTAGTACTATTACTTATGTCGCAGTAACTACCATATTCGTATACTCGGTGACGGAAGTTTCAAAGTGCGGGCCTTTCTGGGGCATGCCGTGCGTGACGAGCGCCACGCACACCATCGTCACCAGCGCCATCACCAGCACGTCGCCGCGCCCTGCCATCCAGTGCTGGTGCAACAGAACAATTCATTGATTAACTGTTATTCCATACATCAATTGATGAACTCGTATTCTTTATATTCATTGATACACACTTATCGTATAAATATATGTATTTTTGTTCAGGTTATAGTGTGTGTGTTTGAAGCATGAACTACAAATATATATTGAGGCTGTGAAGACACGTTCCTGGGATACTTCGTTATGGTCGTTATTCTACATACAACGGAAATTTAATTCTCAAGGAGAGAGAGGATTGGAGGATGAAAGGATTGGAAGATCAAAGGATGGATTGGAGTAGTCAAATGTCTAGGATTGACATTTATTTAGCTGAATATTAAAATGAAATACTTTTTTCGTAAGACGCAAAATAGTTTTTTCACGTTTTGAAATTATACCTAAATTGAAGTCCTATCTTACATACAAAGTTCTGGTTTGAGGGGATTTAATTAAAATATATAGAGGTTTTGTTATTATTAACTGGATTATGGGAATGTCGGTATTGGAATTGTAAAATTACGGTAATAATCAGCCCGAGCCTATGCAAAGCTAACCTGCTAGTTCTTTTTATTTGTCGATAAACACTTATTTTGTAGATTTGTTGATGAATCTATATTCTTCACCTTTATTAATTAACTTGAATTCTTTACATTCATCAATAAACTCTAATTCTTTACATTTATTATTGAATTCTTTCATGCATCGTCATGTAAAGTAAGTATTGCAGGGGGGAAGAAGTTAAGATGTCAATGAACATGCTGTTTGGAAGTATGTTTACCCTTTAAACATTAATGCGGAGAGCTCTTTAGAGAATTATTAATTTGTATTCGTCATTAGGCATAAGTTCTCAAAAATATGTAATAAGTCAAAAATTTAATTTTCGACATTTCACAAAATTTCACCATCGCGAGAGTAAAATTTTATTCCAAGTACTCATCAGTCAGTAGCAATCTATTGCTGTTCATGCGCTCTCCGCTCTCACATCTAATAACTTCTGTCATTAATCAGGCTTACAAATTTGATAATAAATTTGATGTGTAACTAAAGTATAGGGCTTCTATTTACTTACATACAAAACAAGGCTAATATCATTTTTTAGGTCGCAGTATGGTTTTAATCAGCTT